GGCGTCGGCGGCGGGGCCAGGCCCCTCCCTCCAGGCACCCGGCCGCCCCTCCGTGCTGGCTTCTCGTTCCCGGGGAGGCCGCCACCTCCTCCCTCTCATTTTAAGCCCTTAAATGGGCTTCAGCTTTTCTCTGCGCATGACTGTGAAGGTGAGAAACCTGTTGCCCATCTCTTTTCTCCGACATCAACGTCATTCATGGATCTTCTCACCCGTCTAATCTGCTACCGGGAAAACTGGTTGTCGGGGTAACCCAGGCACGAGGGAACCCTGAAAGATGGGTTCTCAACCTTTCTTATCAGGAGAGGCTGTAGCCTCTCACCCCGGGTCCACACCAGGCCTGCTTGCTGGAAGGCTCTCACTGCCCCTGCAACCCCGGCTTGGACCCTGATCAGGGCAGGAGACTGGCAGCATTTAGGTGCCAGCCTATTTCGAGCTAATGTAGTGAGAGGTGCGGGATGTTAGCGTTCCGTGGGGCATAGTTCTTGGGTGCGTGGGCCAGAGTAAAATGAGCGACCATGGGCCATGAAGTTTCTTATTTCCTAGTCTTTGCATTTGTGATCTGGCTTTCCTAATTCTCTGTTGTGGGAGAGGCTGTCACTGGCCCTTAGGATGCTTTTGTGTAAATTATAAGGAAGACCCCCTGTCCTCAAGACACTTGGTATTCAGCTCCTGGAAAATCGACAAGAAATAAGTATGATGATGCCAGGTGCGGTGATGCACACCTGTAATGTAATCCCAGCACCCAGGAGGCTGAGGCAGGAGGATCACCACAAGTTTGTGGCCAGCCTGGGCTACATAGTGGGTTAAAGGGCAGCCTGTTCAAGATACGGTGAGACCTTGTCTCTAAAAGAAAAAAAAAGTATAATGAGTGGATAGGCCTACTGGAGGGCTCCTCAGCCAAGCAAGCTCTGCATACCCTTTGTGCAGGGGCCTTTTAAAGATCCTTTCCTCTCCCAACGTTTTTTCCCACTAAAAGACAGGAGATAGGGCCTGGGATTTAGCTCAGTGGTTCTGGCGCCTGCCTCCCAAGCTCAAGGACCCAAGTTCGATCCCCACTACAAAAAAACCAAAAAAGCAAAAAACTCCAGGAGATAAAGAAAGAAAACATTTGCTGCAGGTTCTCCAAGAGATGACCCGGGGTGGGGTGTCCCCAGGCAGGTCTGGGGCCCCATGAGGAGCTTGGGCCACAATGCTTGGGGTGTTTTTGTTTTTGTTTTTTATCAGGGATTAAACTCAGGATCTCCTGCTTGCCTGGCAGGCCCTGTGCCGCTGAGCTACATCCCCGGCCCTACCCAGGTTTGGATCCTTGTGGTGTTGTCTAGTCTATCACTGGAGGGAAGTGACATAATGCCTCTAGTTCTTCATCTGTCAGCCTGCACAGACTGGGTTTGAGGAGGAGAATGGAGACTGCTGTGGCCCTTTGTGCTTTATCTGACCCACTCCCAACTGGAATTGCACACCAGCTGAGGCACTGGGACCCCAGCACTGGCACTGAGCCAGACAGGGACTTGTGCTCTATGGGAAATACTGTTCTGGGTCAGCATTTTGCTTCTGCCCAGGCTGTGTGGCCAGCCAGGGTCTTCCTGAATCCGTTTCCTCTGTAGATGGGTCCACTGCAGTTATGGGAGCCCCACACAAGAAGTTCTGAGGGTGCCTGGGCTCTGGAGGGGTGTTCTGTGAGGGTGGCTGCAGTGGCACTTTCTCCTGCAGGTCCACGTCGGCTTGTGCATCACAAGCATCGTTGTGATGTTCTCTGCCAACTCTCTGATGTGGACCTTCTTTAGCCGGGGCCTCAGTTTCTCCATGTCGTCAGCCATTGCATCAGTCACAGTGACCTTTTCAAACATCCTGAGCTCGGTGAGTAGTCTGAGGGCATGGTGTCAGGTCCTAAACCTGTCCTGAGTGAGTTGTCTTTGAGGAGCCCCTGCTTTCCCAGGCAGAAGGGACAGAAAGTGACGTGGAGGTTGGGTCGAGGCTTGACCGGTGCCTGGCTGCTCCTCCAGTCACGGAGCAGTTAAATGTGGATGACTTCTCTGGAAGTGGGGATGAAGCCTGACCCGGAAAAGCCTACCTGCTTGGAGCCCCGAAGGTGGAGCCTCTTCCTGAAGGCCCCCAAAGCCTGGGTGTCTCCTGGGGTCGTCCCTGCACACCCTGCTGGGGTCTGGGATGGGAAGGAGGGCGTGGAGCCCCAGCTTCCTGCTGTGGACCTGCGCCCTGCCCTGAGCTGACCTTGGGGGGGAGTGGGTGGGACCCTGACGCTGTCTCTGCCCGCAGGCCTTGCTGGGCTACTTGCTGTACGGTGAGTGCCAGGAGGTGCTGTGGTGGGGAGGCGTGTTCCTCATCCTCTGTGGGCTCACTCTGGTCCAAAGGAAGCTGCCACCTGTCTGGAAGCCTGTCCCGCACAAGCAGCAGTGACGCCACCTGGTGTTTGGCCGAGAGCTGACTGGTGGCCGCCTCAGGCGGGTGTGTCCTGTGTGCCTGCTTCCCCTGTGGCCTGGGTGTGCAGCCTCCTAACTGTCGCAAGGGAGGTGCCATACCAGCCAGCCTTCTTGATGTCAGTGCTCCCAAGGGACCAGGCCCCCAACCTCCAGCTGGGAGGGTGGCAGCGAGCCACCTTGTGCCCAGAGTGCCCGCAGTGTCTGTGCAGTGCTTCGATTCTCGACCTGGGCCACCACGGTGAGCCCCACAGATGTAGAGGTCCAGGGTTTCCGCGCGCCACACCAAGTTCTTGTCACACTCTGCTCCCGGGGGCTTCCTCGGGGCTTCCTGACTTCACGAGTATGTTAAGCAAGATGAGGAAACCTGGGCTAATAAATATTTTTTTGTAAGTTAAAGCCGCCGGGTGTGGAACCTGGGCCCTTCCCTCCCTTTGGTGTTGGAGGCTGAGAGCTCTTCCCCGGGTGGGTCCTGCTGTGGTCACCGGGTGTCTGTCCCTTGTTGGGAAGTCAGGCCTCACCTTGACCCTGTTCCTGTCCTCTGGAAAGGGAAAGTGGCCTGGAGCCTACCTGGCCCTGCGCCTGAGGCCCCTGGCTTCTTGGCTCCTCCGTCCCAGGGCGCTGGTGGTTCTGAGGCCTCGGGGTCTGAGGTCCCCGTTGCCCCTGCTGTCTGAGCCCTCAGCTTCTCCCCGTCTTCCCCCTTCCCTGTGGGCCGTAGGCTCTGTGCCCCACTCAGCTCTGCTGCAGGACGGGAGCCTGGCAACATGGGCCTGCTCCCGGCTGCCCTCACCTCCGTGACCCCAGAGCAGCGCTTCCTCAGGCTGGAGTCACCCCGACACCTGTGCTTCCAGCCCTGGTGCGGAGCTGCTGTGCTGCTTCTCTGCCCCTCTGCTGCGGACTTGTACCCTCACAGGGGCCCCGGCCAGGCTGTGACAGTGCTGACGGATCAGGTGGCGTGGACACCTCCAGCCTCAGCCTTACCCCGGGGGGTCCCCTGTTCCTACTGTGGGGTGGGGGGCAGGTGAGCGGTTTGCCCAGTGCCACACGGCTACCGAGTGCCAGTGACCATGGTGCCCATCTGCCTGAGCCCAGGGCTGGCACCAGTTCCGCAGTGGGCCACGCTCCCTCAGCCCAGAACCCAGGGGCCACCGGCCACCTCTCGCCTTCTCCAAGGGCCCCCTGCCCCAGCCCTGAGCCAGTCTGACCCTGCTGTGGTAGCAGCGAGGAAGGGCAAGGCCACAGCCCTGTGGGTTGAGGTCCTGTGGGGCGGGCACAGGACGGGGCTGAGAGGCGGGGGGGGCGGGGCCGGCACCCTGGGCAGTGTGTGACTGCCAGGAGGAAGCCATGAAGGGACCCATCCACACAGAGGCAGAGGTGGCTGGCTTCACACTTGATTTACCGAGTGCACCTGGGTGGCATGGTGCTGCACGCCTGTAATCCCAGCATTTGGGGTGCCGAGGCAGGAGGAGTGCTGCAGTTCAAGGCCTACCTGAACTAAGTGAGACATCTCGAAAATGACGACACACACACATCTGCAGGAAGCCCACGAGATACAAGATGGCTTCTCAAAAGAAACAGGCCACTCTGAGGCACCTTGCAGTCATCTCAGACGCATGGGAATGATTCCCGTATCTGCTTGTGCATTTCAGGGATTGTCCTCAGTGAACCTTGAGTCAATATTTGTCTCTGCTCGGCACCTGGGCAGTGGGTCGAGCTTGGTTTTGTTTGTGCTGGACCTGGCAGTTTGATGTTGTGTCCTCCAGCCAGATCCTGATGGGGCAGTCACCAAGTTTTTGTTCTCATTTTTTATTTTACCTATCTCTTTTTTTTAGTCTTTTTTTTTTTTGGTACTGGGGATCAAACTCAGGACTTTGTGCTTGCGGGGCAGGTGGCGGAACCACTGAGCTAAGTCCCCGGCCCATCTCTTTTTTAAAGTATGCAACCCAGTCTTTTTTTTTTGTAGCACCATGAGATTTTTCAACCGTGATCACTGTCTAATTCTGGCACATTCCCCAGTCAGCTCCTCTGTCTGCTCTGGCTTTGCCTGTTCTGTGTGCTGCATGCAGGCCGCATGCCGCATGGCCTGGCTTTTCATTCAGGATGCTGTTTCAAAGGCGCAGAGCTATTGGAGCCCAAACTGTACTTCCTTCCTACCAGTGGGTTAGTGATCCTCCCTCCTGTGGCCACACCACGTTGCTGTGCCTGTTGGTCAGGTGATGGCTATCTGGATGTTTCTGCTGTGGGGCTGTTACAGGTAACGCTTCGAAGCTGGGGATGTAGCTCAGTGGTGCTGTGCCTGCCTGGCAAGCCCAAGGTCCTGAGTTTGGTTCCTGGTACCAAAAAAGAAAATGCTGTGATGACTATTGGCTTGCAAAGTTTTTGTGCGTGTGCGATTTCAGTCCTCATGGTCTGCTGGGCCGTGTGCTGCCTCTTATGCTCACCTCCTGGACGCACTCTCCCACTCTGCAAAGCAGCTGCACATTTTCCATCCCCACCGTCCAAGGGTGAGTGAGGGTCCCAGTTCTCCACTCCCTGCCGACACTACTACCGTTCCTTCCGCAGTCACCTGGCTGTGTCTTGCTGTGGCTTCTGTTTGCCGTTGCATAAGGACTGATGTTTTCTGTGCTCTCTGGGTGTTCATACACCTTCTTCGGGTTTGGGACAATATCTAGAGTCTTTGCCATTTTAAAAAAATTTAGGATTGAGGGCCAGGGATTTAGCTCAGTGGTTTCACCACCTGCTGCACAAGCTCAAGGACCCGAGTTTGATCCCCGATACAAAAAAGAAAATCCTAAAAATGTTAGAATTAATTCAGCAAAGTTGCAGGATGCAAAATCAACACAAAAACATCAGTTACATTTCTGTATACTAACAATGAACAGTTTTAATCTGAGAAGGAAATTCTGCAATAGTTTCAAAAACAATAAAACACTTAGGAAATATTTAACCAAGGAGACAAAACAGTTCTGCACTGAAAATTACAATCCATTGCTGCCAGACGTGGTGGCACACCTGTAATCCCAGCACTAGGAAGGCTGAGGCAGGAGGATCACTGTGAGTTCAAGGCCAGCCTGGGCTACATAGTGAGACCCTGTCTCAAAAAACAAAATACAAAACCAAAACAAACAAGTGTTAATGAGGTTGGAGAAATCAAAACCCTGTGTGTTGCTGGTGGGATGAAGCAGTGCAGCGGCTGCAAAGAGCAGAGTCTAGGGTTCCACAAGAGGTGAAAGGCATTGTGTGTGTCGTCAGGGCATCTGGAGGCTGCGGCTGCCTGTCGCCTCCGTGGTGCTCTGTCCGGCCCTGCAGGAAGGAGGTGTACTTTTTCCTGCTCTCTTTGAAGTTTTTTGTAAGACCATGGCTTCTTTTTTTTTTTGGTACTGGGGATCGAACTCAGGTCCTTGCACTTTCGAGGCAGGTGGCGGAACCACTGAGCTAAATCCCCAGCCCCGAAGACCGTGAATTCTTTAGAAAACAGTGGATGAGTTGGACGTTGCTGGACAAGACACTGTTCCCGTGGTGGCTCAGCAGGGACACTCGGGCCAATGACGCCCACGTGCTTTGGGGCCACATAAGGAGTGTGGCAAATGGGATGGGGACGCGGGAGGGGACGCCTGGCCACGGTGTGGGCCCCAGGCTGTGTATTCCAGAGCCACCCACATCCCAGAGACAGGGTTAGAAGACTCAGTTTCCCCACAGTCTTCCCGCTGGTCAGAGCAGCTGGTCAGAGGTGGGTCGCGTGGGCCCTGTGGATGCCTGCATGAGGTTCCTGGGAACCCCTCAGGGGAGGGGAGACCTCAGTTTATGGGATCTTAGATTTCATCCTATAAAGCTGTTTGCTTGTGTGCTGCGAGGGCGAGGAGCGAGGGCAGATAGGAGCCGGATCTGAGGCGAACAGAGCCAGGTCAGGAGGAAGGCTGTCGGCCCACAGACCTGTGCCTCCCTGGCTCCACATGAAAGTGGGTATCGCGGCACTTTCCTCCTCAGGACAAGGGGAGTGTGGGGTGGGGGTCCCTCAGAACGGGGGTCTCCCTGCCCGTGCGCATCACCCGGCGAGGTGGCCCAGCCCTGGAGCTGCTCACATCTGGGCCTTTTGGTTTTCACCCATGAGCCCAAGAGCCACCGGGCCCCCTGCGGGCTGGAGACGCCAGGTGACTTGGTTCCCTCCCTGCTGCCATCCGTGCGCCTGGGAGTCCCTGCTGCCATGTCCCTGTCCCTGTGCCCACGGCACCTTGTTGTCCTCATGCCCTGCCTGCCTTCTTCACCCTGCCCCGTCTCTCTCGCCCATGTCCACAAAGGTGCCGTCCATGCCGTGTTTCCAGGAGGTGCCTGCAGAGCCCTGACCCCTCTGTGAGCACAGTGAGGGTCTTGCTTGGGCAGCCGGGGACCCCGACATCAGGGCCGGCCACCTGCAGCCCTGGTGACCTGCACCAGACCCCAAGTCCTGGGGGCACAGGCCAGAGAGCGAACGCATGACCCTTGAGGCAGTGACAGCTCCCACACCACCTGCAGATGGGGCCTGGCCAACAGTGCTGGGACCTGGTCATCCCTGGAGGCGGGGACACCTGGGGGCCCTCTTCAGGCATGGGATGGGCCCCTCAGCTAGGTCCCTGGCACACTTCTGCGCCCCTGGTCCTGGCCAAGCCGGGACTGCTCTCAGGCGGCGTGGTGTGCACGCGCCTCGCCAGGGCTCCTAGACTGAGCTTCCTCTCGGTGGTTTGAGCTGTGGATTTCATTTTCACAAGGTGCAAAATTCTGATGGCACACAGGGGAACCCCAAGAAATGTAAGCTGTCGCCCGTATCTCTGGACCCCAAAGCAGGGCTCGGGCCCCTGTGGACAGGGCCAGCCAGGGCCCTTCCTTCTTCAGTGCTGTGTGTGCTCTGGGCTGGGGCCGTGTGACTCACCGTCCCTCCTCCCTTCCCCTCTCTCCATCCCTCCGTCCCGCCTATGTTCCCTTCTTTCTTCCCTCCAACAGGGTCTCACTATGCATCTCAGGCGGGCCTTGAACTCATGGCCCTCCTGCCTCAGTGCTGGAATTACAGGTGTGCACCACCACACCTGGTTTTCATGGCCTGTGTGCTGGTGTCTGGGGAACAGTGGGGAGACTTTTGTCCCAGGACATGGCATCCAGGGTGACCCGGCCACACTCTGCTCCTGAAGCTCCTGGCTGTCACCATTCGGTGCCCTCCCACGCAGCCCAGCGCTGCAGTGTTAGGGCTCCAGTTGGACCCCACTCCTGCCCGGGGCCTTGTGCCACTGGGCCAGGCTGGTGCCTTTCAGCAAAATGAACATCATTTTTAAAAACCACAGGTGGGGCCGGGATGTAGCTCAGTGCTTCCGCCACCTGCCTCAAAAGCACAAGGGCCTGAGTTCGATCCCTGCTGACATGGTGGCACATGCCTATGATCCCAGCCCTAGAGAGGGTGAGGCAGGAGAAGTCTCATGAGTTCAAGGCCATAACGAGACCCTGTCTCAAAGACAAAGCCCCACAGGTGGACGGGGAGAGCACAGCGTGCCTGTGCCAGCCCCAGCGTCCCCTCGAAGGCCCTTGGTCTCCCTTTGGCTCCAATGGAAAGGAGTTGCCCTGTGCAGAGCTTCCTTCTCCTCGCTAAAGCCCAAGCGCAGCGAGAGTCCTACAGCTCCGAGGCCCAGTGCGGAAGGAAGTCGAGGTGGGGGGACTCAAGCCACACTGGGCGCTCTGACTGTGGGGCCGCCTCTGGGGGACACCGGCCACGTGGAAGCTTTATATATGCAAAGTAGAAAACCAAACACTGCGCCCCTTGCTGGGGATCGAACTTGGGTCCTTGCGCTTGCAGGGCAGAGGGCGGAACCACTGAGCTAAATCCCCCGCCCTCCCTTGACTTTTTAATGTGAGGAAAGAAAACCTCCAAGCCGGTGCTGGACGGTCACTCCGGTCACTCCACACACGGCCAGTCACCGTGCCGGGCCCCTTGTGGTCTCATGAAAGCCGAGGGGCCGCTCCCCACACTCCTCCCAGGACAGCGGCTGCTTTGCCCTCATCCGGCCCAGATAGGACGGTTATGGGTCTTACCGCCCTCATGGCTGTGCTCCCAGGGCCGCCCCTTGGCAGCTGCGCAGGTCACGGCCGCATAAAAGGGGCCGGGCTGACGCTCCGCAGCGCAGGGGGGACGAGCGAGTGCAGGACCATAGCGGAAGGTGAGTGGGGCTCCCCCGCCGCTCCCACCTGGGGACCTGGGCCAGGGCCGGCGCCCCCACCCCTCCTGCTCTCCGCCTAAACTTGGCCTTCACTTACCACCACCTGCTGCGAGGAGGATGCGAATTCCCGCGTGCCCGCCACCTGCCACCGAATCCCGAGTAACCAGCTTGCTTTTCAGCCTTTTCTTTTGGTTTTCCTCCTTCTTTTAGACTGAGAATGAAGCCCAGGGGTGTTTTCTATCTGTGAAATTACATCCCTAGACCATTTATTTATTGGACCCGGGGTCTTTGCCCTGAGCTCCTTCCTCAACCCTTGGGTTTTTTGGTACCAGGAGTCAGACTCAGGGCCTAGTGCTTGCCAGGCAGGTGCTGTGCTGCTGAGCTACATCCCTGTCCCTTCCCAGCCCTCCTTATATGTTTTATTCTTTGTTTTGAGACGGGGTCTCACTCAGTCACTAAGTTGCTCAGGCTGGGCTCGAACTTGGCCTCCTTCTGCCTCAGCCTCCTGGAGTGCTGGGAGGACAGGTGTGGCTCACCCGACAGCTGCTGTCTCAGGCCAGGGTCTGGGCCAGGGCCACCGGATGGAGGCGCCTGCTGATCCGGTGAGGCCCGTGTGAGTCTCCAGTAGCAGGAGGTCGTGCTGATGAGTGGGGCCCCGGGCTTTTCTCAGCCGTGAAAGGGGCCGACCCCGAGACAACGTCTGGAAAATGCCAAGGCTGCTGCAAGAGAAGGGCTGACTCTGCTGCGGGGCCCCTGAAGCATCCTGGCCTTGGGGGGCTCGGCACAGCTGCCTGGGGTCTCGGTGCGAGGGGCAGGGCGGTGACACGGACCTGCTGCCCTCACGGGGTGTCAGCTGCCTCCCTGCGGGCACAGCTCAACTCTGCTCTCCAGGTCAAAACGACCGGGACTGGGCCTCGGGGGCCCCGAGGCGTCCTGCAAGGGGCTCTTCCGTGTCACGGGCCCCGTCTGTCCTCCGAAGACAGGGACGTCGAGGCAGGGGACCTGGATGGGGCTGTGGGTGTGGGGAAGGCGGGGTTCTCGTGGAGGAGAGCCACTGGGCTGGGCCCCGGAAGGCTGGTCAGTGCTCCTCGAAAATAAATGCCAGCTGCCTCGGCAAAGTCCAGAAAAGCCCTGGTGTTAGAGGAAAAGGGAGGGGCAACGTTTCCAGGGAAAACCAGAAACACGAAGGCGACCAGAGATGAAAGCAACTCTAGAAAAGTTAGAAATACGCATGTGGCCAAAGCTTTAGAGTCAGAAGACAATAGGCTAGGCTGTGAAAGTAGCTGCCACACCCACAGGAAGCAAAAGCTGCCACTGTGGGGCACACATCCGTGATCTCAACTACTTAGGAGGCTGAGGCAGGAGGATGTGAAAGTTTGAGCCTAAATTTAGTGACTCAAAATAAAGAGGGCTGGGGGCATCGCTTGGTGATAGGTCCCCCTGAGTTGGAGCCTCAGTACCAAAGAAGGAGGAGAAGGAGGAAGACAAAGAGAAGGAGGAGCAGAAAAAGCTATTTTGTAGTACAACTTAGTGAGTTAGGAGACTCTCAAAAAGTAAAAAGGTCTGGAGATGTAGCTCAGTGCAAAGGCCCTGGGGTCCATCCCCAATTTTGCAAAGAAAAATGAATTCTCTTTGTATCAGCAGCAGCCTTGGACCGTGGCCTCCGTCTCCCCGATTTCCACCTCTCTGGGGCACTCGCCCCTGGCCCGAGTCCCTCCGCCCCGGCAGGGAACAGTCCCTGTCCACCACTTCTGCCGGGAAGTGCCGCCTCCTCTGCCCAGCCTGGGGTTGGTGGATGGAGAAGGCGCAGTGCCCTGGCCCGCTGTGGCCGCGGTCCTGGCTGCAGGGAGACACGGCCTGGGGCGGGGCACCCAACAGCTCCTGGGGAGGTGACCTCGCGTCACCGGTGGGCGGCGCAGCCTCAGGAAGACCCGGCCACGCCTTCGGGTAGTGGACCCCGTTTCTCCTCTCGCGCCGTGGGCAGAGCTGCAGATCCGCCACGTGGACTTCATGAAGCGCGACAATGCCGTGTCTCACCACACGGCCGAGTTCCAGACGCCCGACCTGGTGCTGCGGCGCGGACAGACGTTCATGCTGCGGCTGCAGCTGAGCCAGCCCCTGCAGCCCCGCGACGCCCTGACGCTGCAGTTCAGCACGGGTAGGGTCAGGCTCCCCTCCGGCCTGGAGGACGCACGGGTTGTGACCCGGGGTGGCCCGTAATGCCTTTGCCTCCTGGCCTCAGTTTCCCCATCTGGGGAGTGGGAGTGGTGAGCGCTCCACCCGTGGGGGATCCGAATCCTCGGCCCAGCAGAGGGCGCTGGGGAGGGAGGCAGCCCCTAGCTGCTCCGGAGACATCCACAAATTTGTAGAGGGCGGGTGTGGCAGGAGGACTGCAAGTTCAAACCCAGCTTGGGCAACTTAGCAACTGAGTGAGCTGCTGACTCGGAAGGAAAGATAATAGGAGCCAGTCGTCCACCCGTGGGTCGGTAGCTGCGTGCGCCTGGGGACGACCGAGCTGGACGGCGGGGCCGGGAGGCCGGGGGTGGCGTGGCCCGTGTCATTCTCCGCCCGCGCCCGCGGGACCCTGGCCCAGCGTGTCCAAGCACATCCTGATCTCGCTGGACCCGCACTCCGCCGGCTGCCACGGCTGGAAGGCCAGCGTCCGCAGCGAGGCCGGCTCGGAGGTGAGGCCGGCGGCCGCCTGCCCAGCGCCGGGCTCACCCGGGTCCCTACAGGCGGCTTTAGAACAGCGGCCGTGGCTCCGCCCAGCTGCTGGCTTCCGGGGGTGTGGTCAGCGCCCCCGCCGATTGGGGAGTTTTGGGGACCCGGGAGTGGCTGCGACAGGTCTCCCTGTGGCCTAGGCTGCCTTGGACTCACCCGGTCTTCCTGCCTCAGCCTCCCCAGTGCTAGATTACCCGTATGCGCCCAAGCCCAGCAAGGCTTGCTATCACCCGTGTTTCAGCCCCTCTGCCCAGTGGGGGGGCCGAGTGCAGCCTGGGCACCGGGACGGCGAGGGGGCGCGAGGGACCGGGTCCCGCTCTGCCGCGCAGAGTCGCGCTTTCCTCCCCTGCTGCCCGGGCGGGACGCTCCCGGGCTCCGGGCTGGGGGGACCCCGAGTCTGCCCGCGGGACTCCGGGCCTCCCACCCGTCGCGCCCCGCAGGCCGTCGTCGCCGTCACCAGCGCCCCCAACGCCGTGGTGGGCAAGTACTCGCTGGAGGTGAAGAGCGGCCACAGGGCTTCCGGCCCGACGAGAGCGCCGTGTACCTGCTCTTCAACCCGTGGTGTGCAGGTGAGGCGGGCGGCGAGCCCAGGAAGCCCCGCCCTGATCCCGGAGCCCCGCCCCGGACCCGAGCCCCGCGCCCTCGGCAGGCACCGGAGCCCCGCCCCTGCGGGCCTCACGCCGGCCCCGCCCCCAGAGGACGCCATGTTCCTGCCGGCCGGCGGAGGAGCACCGAGCCGAGTACGTCCTCAGGGACACCGGCTACCTGTACATGGGCTCCTTCCGGCAGATCAAGGCGAAGCCCTGGAACTACGGCCAGGTAGCGCCAGGGAGGGCCTGGGGAGACTCGGGCCCGCTCTGCCTGTGTTTTTAATAAATTTTATTCCATACCATTCCCCCCGCAAGCCCTTTCCCCTCCCTATGTGTAAAAGCTTTATTTCCATTTTTCCTTCTATTTTCAGTTTTTTTCTTATTCCGTCCTTCCTCTCTCCCTCCTCCCTTGTTTCCTTTCCCATTTGAACACTTTCATCCCATTTCCCAACATCCATTATACATCTCAGTCCTTATTTCCACTCAGTTTCTCACACCAGAGAAACACTGTGGTATTTAAACTTGTGTCCCATTTATTTTACTTATGAGTACGATCTCAAGATTCATTCATTTCGCTAGAAATGTCTGAAGCTCATCCTTCTTTATGGCAGAGTAGTACTCCATTGTATATATTAAAAAAACACATCTTCTTTATCCATACATCACCTGATGGGCGTTTGGGCTGTTCCCAAGTTTTAGCTGTTACAAACTCTGCCGCTCTAAATATGGGTGTGCATATGTCACTGTGTTATGATGCTTTTAATTGTTTCAGGAAGATACCAAGAAGAGGGATAGCTGGGTCGAATGGAACCTCTAGTTCTAGTTGTTTGAAGAATCTCCACACTGATTTCCACAGTGGTTGCACCAGTCTGCACTCCCACCAGCAGTGGAGAAGGGTTCCTTTTCCCCCATAGCCCTGCCAGCATTTGTTGTTGGTTGATTTCTTGATAGCAGCCATTCTTTCTGGAGTGAGGTGGAATCTCCGCCTTGTTTTAATTTGCATCTTTCCAATGACCAGTGATGTTGAACATTTTTTCATATATTTATTTGCCATTTCTAATTCTTCGTCTGTTCATTTCAGATGCCCATTTTTGCATTGGGTCTTTAAATTTTGGGGGTCTGATTTTTTTGAGTTCTTTATATATTCTACATAGTAGTCCTTTGTCTAGTGACTAGGTGGTAAAAATGTTTTTCCCATGCTGTGGGTTCTCTCTTCACTCTGTTGGTGGTTTCTCTTGCTGTGCAGAAGCTTTGTTTTTTGGTACTGGGTATCAAACTCTAGACCTTGCACTTGCGAGCCAGGAGGCGGAAGCACTGAGGTAAACCCCCCACCCAGTGTGGAAGCCTTTTAATGAGATGAGGTCCCAGTTGTTGATTCTTTGTAGTGTTTCCCTTGCAGTCTGGGTTTTGTTCATGAAGTCTTTGCCTACTCCTGTGTCTTCAAGTGTTCTACCTATTCTCTCTTCCAGCAGATTTAGTATTACTGTTTTAACATTTAGATCTTTGATCCATTTTGATTTTAGGTTAGTGCGTGGTGAAAGATACAGGTCTAGTTTCAATTTTCAGCTTGAAGCCAGTTTTTCCAGCACTATTTATTAAAGAGGGTATCTTTCTTCCAGTGAAGGTGTTTGGCTTCTTTGTTAAAGATAAAGTGGTTGTGTCTGGAGTTGTTTCTGCATCCTCTTTTTTGCTTGTTTTGAGACAGCATCTGGATATGTAGTCCAGGCTGGCCTCAAACTCATTATGTAGCCAAGGCTGGCCTTGACCTCACAGTGATCCTCCTACCTCAGCCTCCTGAGTGCTGGGATTACAGCAGTGTACCACCACACCCCGCGATTATTATTTCTTTTTACTTTGAGACAGGGTCTTGCTGAGTTACCCAGTCTGGCCTTGAATTTGCAGTCTTCCTGCCTCAGCCTCCCGAATAGCTAAGATTACAGGCGTGCACCACCATGTCTAGCAGTGCACTCCTCTTCAATGGCTGCACCCTATAGGTGGTTTCTTTTCGGGGAAGTGGGTCCCGGGTTGGCGGGAAGGGCAGGTCCATGGTGTGTGTTAACTTTCCAGCACCTAAAAAAAAAAAAACAACAAAACTTTCCAGCACCGGTGGAGCTCTCATGGCCCTTCCTTATTTCCTGAACTAGTTTGAGAAAAACGTCCTGGATTGCTGTATGCTCCTGATGGCCCAGAGCTACCTGAAGACCATGGACATGCGGGACCCTCTGATGGTGGGGAGGAACATGGGAGCCATGGTAGGTAGGTGTGGGAGGGAGGGCAGGCAGGGGCAGGGATGGTTTCCAGGCTTCCTGCTGGACCTCGAGCTGCGGCAGCCCACCAGCAACCCTGACAGCTTGGGAAGACAATTGTGGTTGCTGCTTTTCAAGGTAGGGCTGAGCCCCAAATCCCAGTTTCCCTGCTGTGAGTTCTGTCCCTGGGGCCAGGCCGCGGTCAGGGTGAGTGCGTGGCTCCAGCTCAGCTGGGAGCTTTCAGGGTTAGCGTAGCGAACCCCATGGCCAGGACCCCGCCCTGGACAAATGGGCTGCGGGTCACCTCGGCCCTGGGTGTGCGGAAGTCAGTTTCCCAGAGCATAGCAGGTGTGCGATGCTTTACCACGAGCAGTGGCCACGCACCCAGGAGCTGTTTACGAAGTTAGAGCCACAGATATTTATTGCATTAGAATCAAAACCAAGAAGCTCAAAACTGTTTTTCTTCTTAAAGAGTAGCAACAAATGTATTCCATGTTAACATATCTTTGTAACCACCCCCCCACCCCGCCAAAAAAAAAAAACAAACCCTAGAGGGCCAGGGATTTAGCTCAGTGGTTCCACTGCCTGCCTTGCAAGCAAGCACAAGGTTCCGAGTTCGATCCCCCATACTAAAAAAAAAATAAACCCTAGAGCTGGGTAAGGAGGCGCACACCTGTGATCCCAGCACTCAGGAGGCTGAGGCAGGAGGACGGATGTGAGTTCGAGGCCAGCTTGGGCTACATAGCGAGACCTTGTCTCAGAAAACCAAAAACAAAAGAAAAACCAAAACACTTGTTTTTCAAAGCATACAACACATGGAGAAGAGTAACACTGTTTACATTTTTGCAAATCTCATCAGCCAGCCTAATAGAGTCAGTGACGTTTCTTACCTGCTGGGATGCGGGGGTGTAGGTGAAATACATGAAGGAAATCTGGCCTCGAACGGATGTATACATGCAAAAGGTGGGAATATTTCCATAGCCCTTGCAGGGAATGGGATATATTCTTTTTGATACTACACCCATGCTCAACAAGTAGGGAGGTGTTTTTTGGGGGGTTTTTTTGAGACAGGGACTTGCTACATGGCCTCAAACTCACAGCCATCCTCCTGCTTCAGCCTCCAAGGACTGAGGTTACAGGTGTGCACCACCACACTCAGCTTTTTAGCTTAATGTGCTTTTTGTGAGTGGGAGGGCCTTAAAGTTGGCCACAGTGTGGACTCTGAGGCCACACAGCCTGTGTGTGCTGCACCTCATGCTGATTGTGGCCTGGTTCAGCCCCATACCCGGATCCCCGGGTCTCCCAGTGCCACCGGGCATTGCTCTCTGCTGGTCCCAGCCGCCTGGCGTCCCTGGGTGGTGCCAAGGCGCCTTTCTGTGAGCCTGAGCCAGGAGTTCCCAGGTGCGGCTTCCCCATGGCCTCCCGGTGGCAGCTGCCTGCTCAGCCCAGGTCTCGGCTGAGTGAGGGGCCAGGCCCCACTCACCACTCAGTCCGCAGTGTGCAGGCCACGCCTGGCAGCAAGCCTGGCCTCTGGGCTTCATGCCTCTGCTGGGGGCACAGGACTCCGCTCGCGGGCACTGAGCTCAGGAGGCGGAGGCTCAGTGAGGGAACCCAGGCTGCTGCCCTCAAGCAGCTGCTCCTAGTGCAGTGCTCTGTCCGCCCTAAAGTTGCTTCCAAAGATGAGGGTCTGGAGCCCCCGCCCCTTTCGCCCTGGGCCAGAGGGGCTGCCTGGGAGGGTGGTGCCAGAGAGGATGCAGCAGTCAGGAAAGTGTGGTGCGGCTTTCCTGGCCACACTGGGGAGGTGGATCGAGGGGCACAGTGCCTGGTGGGGAGGGGTTCTGCAGGGCACGGCAGGAGGACAGCGGGGCCTGGCCAGGCTGCGTCCACTCCTGGAGGTGACTGAGCATCCTTCCAGGGAGCCCGGGGTGCAGGTGTCTGTGGGTCCTGTGGGCCCTGAGTCCCTGGCAGGGGAGCAGAGAGGGGACGTGGTGACAGCTCAGGTGGTGTGCGCCCCGCAGCCCTCCCTGAGCCTTCCTCGATCCTGTGCTTCCCACAAGGGGCGCATGGAAGGCTCCTTGGGAATCAAAACCGAATGAACCACAAGCTGGGTTCAGAGCCGGCAGATCTTTAACCCCTCAGGTTACAAACTGGCGTCAGTAACGCTGAGGTGCGAGGCAGTGACCGTGCACCTCTCGGGCCGTTGTGGAGCTGGCAGAGGGGATCGTTGTCCCCCGGCCTCCCTCGACTGTCGTCCTCCGTGGGCTTTCAGAGGGCCCCTCGGGGCTGTCTGTACAGGCCACCTTTTTAGGGATTACACCGGCAAATCTAACTTAGGACTCTTTGTCAATTTTTTCCCAGTGCTGGGTATCAAACCCAGGGCATTGTGCATGCCTGTGAAGTGCTCCAGTGTGCTACCCAATTTATTTTTATTTTATCATTTTTGTGGTACTGGGGATTTCACCTAGGGCCTTCACACTTAGCTCCATCCCCAGCACTAATACAATTTTTTATTTTGAGACAGGGTCTTGCTAAGTTGCCCAGGCTGGGCTGGAACTTTCGATCCTCCTGCCTCAGCCTCCCAGAGAGCTGGGTGTACAGTCATGCACTACTGCCTGGAAGAGCTTGTGTGTTTAAATCAGAGAGCCCTTCCCACGTGCCACAGTTAGGAGAGGCCCTTGTGGCTTTACCTTCTCTCTGGTTTTAATCAAGTTGCTGGGTGTGGTGGCACATGCCTATAATCTCAGCATTCGGTAGGCTGAGGCAGGAGGATTGCTGCGAGTTCGAGGCCAGCCTGGGCTACATATTGAAGCCCTGACTCAACCCCCCCCACACACACAAATCAAGTGACAGGGGTGTCCTCCCAGGGTCCTCCGGAGAGACGCAGGCCCCCGAGACACTGAGAGGGAGTTCAGAGATAGAAGCTCCCACAGCCGGCAGAGCTTTACCCAGGTCCCCTGAACAGCTCTCAGGGTGCTGCCATGACCAGCGTGGAAACTGAGGCACAGACAGCATGGGCGGGTCAGGCGGCCGCACGCGGCGCTGTCCCCTCAGGGCCGCTGCCCGCCCCCGCGTGTCAGATCAACTCGCAGAACAAGGCCGGGGTGCTGGTCGGGAACTGGTCCGGCAACTACGAGGGCGGCACAGCGCCCTACCTGTGGTCGGGCAGCGCGCCGATCCTGCAGCAGTTCCTCAGCTCCGGGGCACCCGTGTCCTTCGGCCAGTGCTGACCGACGGTATGGATGGGAGCGGCGGGGCCAGGCTGACGCCCCGCCCCTGCAGTGCTGAGGGCCCTGGGCGTCCCCGCGCGCAGCGTGACTCCGCCCACGACACGGAGGAGAACCTCACGCTGGACATGTTCGCGGACGAGATGGGGAAGACGGTGCCCGACAAGACCAGCGACTCCGTCTGCTAGGCCCCATCCGTCCGCGCCTCCCCGGGCCGCCGCTCCATTCCCAGGCCCAGGCGGCCGCGCCGGGAAACGAAGTTTTCAAATTAAGTCCCAGAAAATCTGTTCCAGGAGCGGGGACCCCCTCCCCGCCGCAACCTCACGCTTGTTAAAAATGCAGGTTCCTAGCCAGGTGCGGGGGAGCTCACCTGTAATCCCAGCTCTCTGGAAGGCTGAGTCAGGAGGATTGCTGTGAGTTCGAGGCCAGCCTGGGCTGCCTAGGGAGACCCTGTCTCAGCCCTCCCCTCCACCCCAGTGCCATTCCGAGGGTGCTGTTACTGTCTGGAAACCGGGGGACCCACTGAAAACCAGCCAGGATGCGTGGCCAGGTACAGTTACTGAGCCGGCAGTGTGCCCGGCTCTCGTTAACTGGGGGCGCCAGCCCCACACTGAGGCCCGCAGTGGCCGCCCGCAGCCGAGGAGCACCTTAGCATCCTGGGCGAGGCTGTCCCTGACGGTCCCCGCCTGGCAGGAACTTCCACGTGTGGACCGAGGCCTGGATGAGGCACAGGGACCTCCCCTCGGGCAACGACGGCCGGCAGGTGGTGGACGGCACCCCGCGGGAGCTCAGCCAGGGTGAGCGGGGCGGCGGCCTGGGCAGCGCCTCTAGGCCGGCGGGTGGGGGCTGGGACCCCAGCCGCCCAAGGCCACCTCTCTGGCCCCCAGGGCTCTATGCTGCGGGCCCTCGCTGGTGGCCGCCATCCGCGGGGCAACATCTTCATGGGGCGCGACACCAAGTTCGTGTTCTCGGAGGTGAATGCCGACAAGCTGGTGTGGCTGGTGAGGACGGTGGGCGGGCGGGCCCAGGTCGGCCTGCTGCCGATGGGGACCACGAGCACCGGCAAGAGCATCAGCACCAAGGCGGTGGGCCAGGGCCGCTGCAGCGACATCACCCACCAGTACAAGCTCCCCGAAGGTGGCCGGCCGGGGCTAGACTCAGCAGGGTGCGGGGCAGCAAGCACCCGGCCACTGTCCTCTGCCCCAGGCGCTGTGAATGGTGTGGCAGTGCAGTCTTATGGACGTTAAAAATGGAGCGGGGTGTGGTGGGGCAAGCCTGTCCTCCCAGCACTGCGGAAGGCCGAGGCAGGAGGATTGCAAGTTGCCGCCCAGTCTGGGTAACTTAGTGAGATACTGCCTCACAGTAAAACCCAGGGTGCTGGGGACAGAGCTCCATGGGAAGGTCCTGGGTTCGTTCCTCAGTACCAAGAAACCCTACTTGAGAACGAGGCACTGTGTGGCAGTGGAGGCCCCAGGGCAGGGAAGCTCAGCCCCAGCTCCCCGCCCTGGCTATAGCCTGGCTTGGAGGTGAGCAACAGGGATCACAGGGATCGGAAAGGAGGGCTCTCAGAGGACGAGCAAACACACAAGCAGAAAGCCAAGCGGTGAGGGGCCAGGGCGGCAGGACAAGGCACGGGACTGAGAGCTGTGCTCCGCGCTGCCCGACTACGGCCTCTGTCCGAGCACGACAGGTGCCCAACGCTGCCCTGAGTCGTCCTCTGCCACGCTCGTCCATCCTTGCGGCCCTTTCTACTCTGAAAGGCAACCTGACCCCTCCACGTCCTCTCTGGGATGCCGCTGCCTCTCAGCCCCTTGCACATGTTTTTTTTTGGGGTTTTTGGTGCCGGGGATTGAACTCCAGACCTTTCACAGCAGGCGGTGGCGCCCTGAGCCACATCCCTGGCCCGCCCTGCACATGTTTAAAAGGGTTTCTCTAGCAAGTTCACGTCCAGGCTCCTTCAGGAACAGTTTCTGCTTTTTCTCTTCTTTTTCCGGAGGTGCTGGGGATAGAAGCCAGGGCCCTGCACAGGCCAAGCCAGGCCTCCACCAGGCTCCCTGCCCTTCTGATATTGAGGCAGGGTCACCCAGGCTGGGCTCCAACTTTCAACCCTCCTGCCTCAGCCTCCTAGAGTGGGGAGATTACAGGTGTGTGCCACCATGCCTGGCTCTCAGGGACAGTTTCTCCTGACTGCTCTTTTCTTCCCTGTGTATGTCCTGTGGTTTCTTGCTGAAAACTGCATCTGAAGAATATAACAGGGCAGCTCACTTCCTGCGGGGCGGAGGCTTGGGGTCTTTACAGGTGAGGGTGCCAGGCTTTCGGGCCTCAGCAGACCTTCCGGGTGTCCTGGTGTTGCCTCCTCCTCAGCTCTTCCTCTCAGCTTTGGTCAGCTGCGTCACTGTTGCCTGCCCTTTCCCTTTTTGTTTTTAACAAATGTGCCTGGGAAAATGCTGTTTGTAAAGCAGGAGCTCCGAGCCAGGTCAAATGACTCAGCTCTCGGAACTGAAGTGTCCAGGGAGCTGAGGTATGGGTCACACGAAGAGAATTCCCTCTCGGGCCACTGGGCTGCCAGCCCCAGGCTTCTGTGGCCCCAGGAGGAAGAAGCGGGGAGGGGAAGGGGGAGGCCTTGACTTCCTTCTCCCTGAGGTGAAGGCTGCTTTTCCTCCATGAGGGCCAATCAGAGGGTCCCAAGCCTTCAGTTAATTTCAGGACTTTGGAGGAAGTTGATTTTGATCATTTCTCCCAGTTTCTCAGCGTTATGGCGAGGGCAAGCTTTGGAGGTCTTTATCCTGCTGTTCCCACTGTCACCAAGAACTGGTGTGGGTGGCTCTGGGGTGAGCCCCGGGCCCCGGCAGGCCAAACAGGCCCTCTGTGCCCCGTGGAGGATGCCGGCATGCTCAGGTGGCTGCTGTGTCCCCGCAGGCTCCTTGGAAGAGAGGGCAGTCATGGACCACGCCTTCTCGCTGCTCAGCTTCAAGCGGGAGTACACGATCCCTGCCAAGGAGGACCTGCTGGAGCTCTCCATGCAGGAGGAGCCGGTGCTGCTGGGGGACCCTCTCAGCTTCTCTGTGACGCTGTGGAGGAGGGCCACCACCCCCTAGACGGTCACCTTCTCAGGCTCCTTTGACCTGCAGTCCTACATGGGCAAGCAGCTGGCACACCTCGGTGGTATCCAGAAGACCGTGCAGATCCAAGAAGAAGGTACTGGGCCGGTACAGAGCACTGCGGGGCGGGGGGGGTCAGGGTCCCAGCCTCTGAGACCCCTGTCTTCTCCATGACCTGTGCACTAGCAAACAGGTGTGCGTGTGAATAAAGTCAACACGCACTTACGAAGCGTCCACCTTTGGGGGGGTCAGGGGACCCAAGCACAGAGCAAATGCGGGCCAGAGACAGGGACCAGGAGCCTGGGGTCTGTCAAGAGTCAGAAGTTAGGGGCGCTAGACAGGTCCCTACAGATACTTTCTGGCCAGGCGTGGTGATGTGTGTCTGTAATCCCACTCTGGGAGGCTGAGGCAGGAGGACTGCAAGTTGGAGGCCAGGCTGAGCAGCTTAGTGAGACCCTGTCTCAAAGTAAGGGCTGGGGTTGCAGCGAAGGAGCCCGAGTTCAATCCCTGGCAGCACAGAACACAGCAAGCCAGTATGTTCTGGTGTGAAGAGACTTAACCTGGAACATCCGCTCTCAGTGGGTCGTGGGTCCCCAGGGCGCAGCGGTGGAGGAGTGGGATGTCCCGACAGCTGGTAACATCTGTCATGCTCTGGACAGTGCCTAGAGAACTTGCCAGAGTTCCGAGTTGAGCCCAGCTTCTTGTCTCGGGGAAGCAGGGCCGGGGGTGTGCCCAGGCGATCCCAGCCCGTGCTTGATGATGAATGTCACGCCTCTGCCCGGCTCCTCCGCAGTGTCCAACGTAGTGCTGACCTGGGATTCCAGCACCTACTCCGACAGCCTGGACTCATTTGAGACAAGCCGGTCATCAAAGGGTTCATCGTGGCGGAAGTGATGGAAACCAGGAGACCATCAGGAGACCATCACCACAGAGATGTTGCTGTGTTTCCAGTACCCGCGGTCCACTATAGAGGTGAGCGGCGGGCAGCCAGCGGGCAGGAAGAGCCGCCGCCCCTTGGCTGTCACCTGGGAAAGTCTAACTTCCAAGACTCCCCGTCTCCTAAAGGAGCCATGCTTGGTACTAGGGATCGAACTCGGGACCTTGCGCTTTCAAGGCAGGCGGTGGCGCCACTGAGCTAAAGCCCTGGCCCCACAGTTCGGGATTCTGAAGCTGCTAATGGGCGGCGAAGAGCCCTCTTCTCTCCTGTCTCCTTCCGGAAGTGGCAAGCGTTGCTGTGTTTTCCTCCTCCGCCTGAGTTTACACACAGCAGTTAAAGCTCAGGTCTTGGCGCAGGAGCCCAGGCCTGTTGACCCGCTCAGCTCCCAAGGAGGCTGCCCCAAGCGCTTGTGGCGCCGTGAAGTCGCCATGGCCTGGGCTCTCTGGGGAGCTGGGGAGGTCACCTGGCAGCCGTGGCACAGGGTGACACGGGGTCCCTGTGGAATGGGGCCTCTGCCGGACTCTGCCTCGGCAGGGAGAAGGCCCGGCCCACGCCTGGCGCCAAGCGGGGGCGCTGGTGCCCGGGTGAAGGCAGCAGAGAAAGACGCGGGGCAGGGGCACCGGGCCCAGGGCTGGGCCCCGCAGAGAGGTGGTGGCTCAAGGACGGCTTTGGGCTGCTCTGGGCATCTTGGGGCTGGTTTGTGAGCTGGGCACAGAAGGAAGCCCGGACGGCGGGGCGGGAGCCTGCAGGTGGCACAGGAGGAGCCCATGCAGGAGCTGAGCCCCAGAGGCTGGAGGGCACCCTGTCCCTAGGACCCCCACCCTCCCGCTGGAGGGGGTCCTGGGAGGTGCAGGCTGCAGGGCGCTCAAATCCTCTATGGCTGGGGATTTAGCTCAGTGGTTCTGCCGCCTGCCTCAAAAGCGCAAGGTCCTGAGTTCGATCCCTGGTACCAAAAAAAAAAAAAAAAAAGAATTGTACAAATATTTTGCCAGGGATTTCGCTTAGTGGTTTCGCCACCTGCTGCGCAAGCTCAAGGACCCGAGTTTGATCCCTGGTACCAAAAAACAAAAAGAATTTATTTTGGAGAGGAGGGGTCCTAATTAGGGCTGAAAGAGGTCAGGCTAGGAACTCTGGCTGCCCGAAGACTCTTGAGTTTTAAATTCCTTTAAGAAAATGTCTGGCCAGGTGCAGTGGTGCACACCTGTGATCCCAGTTCTTGGAGGCTGAGGCAGGAGGATCTCTGTGAGTCTAAGGCCAGCCTGGGCTACACAGTGAGATCCTGTCTAAAACCCTAATTTGGATGAGTGAGTGAGTGAATAAATAGAAAAGCTGTGACAGAGCCCAGGATGTAAGGCTGTGGCTATAGACAGAAATGCTGGCAGTACCAGAAGCTGAGAAAGGCGTGGACAGAAGCTTCTTCCCTAGACTCTGAGGGACCCTGGGGCTGTGCGCACTGGCCGCAGGGACATGGACACAGGCTTCTCAACCGAATCGCCCTTCCGTGTTATGTGGCCCGAGATCAGCGGTCAGCACGGGGAGGCGCGGCTCACACCTCTCCTGTCTCCCTGCAGCTGCCCAACACGGGCAGGGTGGGCCAGGTGCTCGTCTGCACCTGCACCTTCAGGAACGCCCTGGTGATCCCGCTGACCCACGTCAGGTTCTCTGTGGAGAGCCTGGGCCTGTCCTCCCTGCAGACCGTCGAGCAGGGGTGAGTCTGGTCCCTGGGGTTCAGCCTTCTTGGCTCTCAGTCCGCATCTCTGCGAGCTGGATTCTGTCTGGTTAATGGGCTAAGGGCTGTCTCCAGTGGGCTACCTGTCTGTATCTTCTATTTTTCCTACTGACTCACACTTTTTCACATTAATTTGACAGTGTTGCGTTGCAGTGTTAAATTATCACTGCAAACTTTACCACAGCTGCACCTTTCTTTTCTTTCCATGCTGGGGATTGAACCCAGGACCTTGTGGATGCTGGGCAAGTGCTCTGCCACAGAGCTGCACCCCAGCCTCCCCTTTCTCTCTCTCAACACTCACCATTAGAATTTTGAAAACTTTGGCTACAGCCAAATTTTAATCTTTTCCTTTATGGATACTGAGTTTCATGTCACCCCAAGCATACAGATACAATCTGCTGTGCTCTTTCTAGAATTTCTGGCTGAATTATAATCTGGGGGATGTGGAGCAACGCAGAGCTCCACCTTTGTCAAATAGTCTGTCCTAGCCGTGGTGTGGTGGCGCACACCTGTGATCCCAGCACTGGGGAGACTGAGGCAGGAGGATCGCTGAGTTCAAGGTCAACCTGGGCTACATAGGGAGCTCAAGACTACCCTGGGAGACACAAGGAGACCCTGTCTCAAAAAACACAAGTCAGACCCGAGCGTCTTTGGCTGACTGGACTCTGTGCCGTGTCTCCCCACAGTAGCAGTGTGTACAAGGCAGACTCCGCCCCATCTCCATGTCCATGGACCTTCTAGGATCTTTTCTTCCTCCCCTCTGAAAGTCAGCAGGGTGTGACTGGCGTTACAGTCACTTTACTGATGCCTGTGGGGGATCTGAGCCGATCCTCGGTACTGAATGGTGGAAGGGAAGTCATCTTCCCCAGTTCAGCTCTTCTTTACAGAAGCATGGTTTTCTTCGTGTATGACTCAGACATTCCTGCTTAGATTCATTCCCAGGTGTGCTGCGGCCATTGCTGCTTCAGTGGATGGGATACTTCTCACCTGGTTTCTAAGTGTGTACTGGGAGTATAGGAGTTACTGGTTTTGGTACATGGATGGAACCGAGAAAGACGTTACTGAGCTCAGAGGGTTTGTTCCTGAGAGGTCTGCGGCTGTCTATTTTGTTGTTGTTGTTGTGTTTGTTTTTTGGTACTGGGGCTCGAACTCGAGTTCTTGCACTTGCGAGGCAGGTGCGGAACCACTGAGCTACATCCCCAGCCCTATTGCTGTTTGTTTTTTCGGAGACGGGGTTTCGCTATGTATTTCAGGCTGGCCTTGATCTCACAGCAGCTCTCCTGTCTCAGCCTCCTGAGTGCTGGAATGACAGGTGTGTGCTACCACACCCGGCTGATTCTACGTGTCTGACAAGCTCCTGGGTCAGGCCAGGATCTGGGACCTCCTTGAGTGGCCAGGGGCTGGACAGCCCTTCATCTGTCAGGAGGCGGACGCTCCTCAGGGCACAGAGCGTGTGAACTGACGGAGCTAGCCAAGCCCTGGGGCCAGCTGGTCTGTCAGCTGCCTCACCTGGGCGGAGGCTGACTACTGCCCAGGTCCGGGGCCACTACACCAGGCCCAGATGGCCAGCGCTTTCCTGGGAGGCCATGGCTGGGGCCTGGGCTCCTCCGCTCCTCTCTCCAGCATCCGTGGCTAATTCCACATCCCTCTGTCCCTCAATTTTGCAGGACGGTGCTACCGGGCAAGACCGTGCAGTCCCAGATAAGATGCATCGCAGTGAAGGCGGGGCCCCGGAAGTTCATCATCAGGCCGAGCTCCAGGCCCGTGAAGGAGATCCACTCGGAGAAGGTGGTTCTCATCACCCAGTAGCCACTGCCCCAGCCGTGGGGACAGAGCCCCCCCCACCTACGGGGTTGAGCTTGTCACATTTCCTTCCCACTTAGCCACAGATCACACATGATTAGCTTCGACTGCTCTTGGGAGGCAGATTCAGGAGCCAGTGGGCAAGACAGGAGGTCAAAGGCAGCCACACCCACCTGGCCAGAGACCCCCGGCCTCAGCCCAGAACCCTCCCACCTTCCCAGGTCACAGCCTCCAAAAGCAGGGTCACTGCCATCTACAGTCAGAACCCAGACATGGAGCCTCAGGCCAGAGCTGCTGCTGCTCCCTGCAAGAAGCCACCCTGGGGACAGCCGAGGCAGGGACTGGGCTGGAGAAAGGCCAGAGTGGGAAGCCCAGGGTGCCTGTTCTGTGCAGCACCCGGAGCAAGTCCCTCCCCTCCCCGACGAAGCCGCTTCCTCCTGGGTCTGCCTCCCACGCTGTTCTGCTCTCCATGATCAGATGCCTCTAAACGCTGCTTCAGGGTGACCAGGTGGTCCCAAGTCACGTGTTCTTTACTCCCCAAGCTGCTGGGCGGCCCCAGGGTGCTGCATCCTGGAACACCCAGGTCCAGGCTCCATCCCTCGGGCTCTCGGAGTGGATGTGTCCCAGGCAGGGAATTGGTGGGATACTGGACTCCCCCCATCTTAGGGTAAAACCCCAATCCCAGGGCTCTCGTCCTGGAGATCCACTTCCTCCCTGGCGCACCTGGCGCTCAGTGGGGTCAGAGGTGACCTCAAGATGGAACCACCCTGGTGAGGACTGACTGAGATCCACGGCAGCGCTGGGCCCCAAGGCAAAGTGACACTCGCATACTTCGCAGGCTCAGGTACCTCGCACACTGACCCGTAAGGTAGGCACTGCCCAGGGCTTTGGACTGGGATCACCATGGGGAACAGGGACTCACCACAGAGGCCAAGAGAGCTCTTTATTAAAGAAAGAGGCGAGGCTCGCAGCCACCGCCCTGGGGAGACCTGGCCTTGCTGATGCCCAGTGGAATGTGATGTGGCAGCTGCCACCTCGGGGAGAAGACCGCTGTGTCCCCAGAGTGGGAGCACGAGGCTCAGGCTGGGACAGGCGCAGCTCCCAGGGGGTGCTGGGCGCGGCCCCAGGGTGTGCGCCCCTGCCTGCCCTCCCCCGGGTACCTGGGGACAGCACTGCTCTCCCGGTGTGCAGCTGGCCGCCCAGGGCTGCATGGGTCGGGAGCACATGGGGCCCGCGGCCGGCGGACAGCTCTCTTCCGGGACTCTGGGCCTGGCCGGCCTTAATGAGGACTAAGCTGATTCCGGCCGGCCGGAAGGCGCTGCCCTCCTGGCTCTCTGTTAGTTAACGCTAGGCCTGGCCACCACCGTCACAGGGGGAGTGGGAAGCTCTGGGTGAGGGTTAGCACGGGGTGGCCCTGGCCTGGGAGCCAGCGACCACAGAGTCTGGGGCAGCCTAGGGACAGGAGCGCAGACAGGGCGCTGCCACCAGGGGCCACCTCCCTCTCCGGTCCCCAAGCTCTCCTGGGTGGGTGACTGCTGAAGCAGAGCGGGCAGGGCTCTGGGCTGCCGCAGCCACTGCTGGGGACATACGGAGGGACCAATCCGGAGTTGGGGCTGGGCCTGGAGCGAGTTTCTCAGACAGCGACTGTACAGAAGGGGGCTCAGCAGCCACTTCAGCGGGCTCAGGACAGGACACCCAACACTCCGACTTCACACGGGCCGAGGGTTCCAGGTGGCATGGGGTGCCTGTCCCCTCGTCTGTCTGCAAGGTGTGGCCATCACCCCTTCGTTCTGGGACAAGCCTGCCCTCTCTGGGAGGACTGGCGGCTCAGTGGGTCCTGCACAGCTGGCCTGTGGCCCTGCACCCCCAGGAGGAGGGACGCGTTGTTCCCACGCAAGGAGGCCCTCCCGTCCCCTGGAGGGGCTGTGGCCGCCAGCGGAGGACCCCAGGGGCCCAGCGTGGGGCTGGTGTGGGGTTCTCCAATGACAAGTGCTGACACTCCACCCCGGGTGGTCCCCGCCCATGCGGGCCTGTGAATGTGTGTGCGTGTGAACATGTGTGCGTGTGAACTTGTGTGTGTGTGTGAAGAGTTGTGGCAGCCACGTCTTCCTCTCAGGCAGGCAGTGGGTCAGGGTCCAGCCTGGTCTCCTGTTCTGTCCCCAAGGCTGGCCCTTTGTGTCCTCCCAGCAGAGGCCGAGGCAGCAACCCTGGAAGCCCCGGCTTTGGGTTGGGGGGTCCCCTGCTGGCGAGGCTGTGGCCCCCCGCCCTGACGGCCCAGCACAGGCACACTGTGGCCCCAGCAGGGCAGTGTGGGGCCCGGGAGCCCAGGGGAGGACGGCCGGCTTGAGCGCGCCCAGTGCCCATAGCAGCACTAGGCGTCCATCACCTCCACGGGCTCCTCGTCTGTGGTCCCCGTCGGCTCCTCCGTGGCCAAGGTGTCGTCCGTGTCTGACTGTGACACCTGCCGCACCAAGTCCTTGTCGGGGGGGATCTCTGGCTGCCCTGAGAAGGGGTTGCACCAGTTCAGGGAGAAGTCCCCGCCGAAGGTCTCCTTGAGCGGCTGCCAGCTGCGTGCCTGCTGCTGCCGGTCCTTGTGCTGCAGGCGCTCGATGCCCTGGGGAGAGCGAGGCCAAGTCAGCACCTCTGTCCCGGATGTGTCCCTGTGCTGGGGCCTGGGGACTGCGGCAGCACAGCAAGCAGCCCGTCTCCGCCACTACCAGCCTTCCTCCCTCGGGAGCACGGGCCCAGTGCTGACATCGCAGCCTCTCCAGGTGTGGCCTGGGCCAGCCGTGCGCCAAGGCAGCATGTGCTGAGGCGGCCCCTCCATAGGTTCTCTGGCTGCTCCCTCCTAGCAGGGGCAGCAAGCCTGGCAGGAGGAGGCCTCGCAGGCAAAGGGGGAGTGCAAGACACATGCACGCCGTTCAGGGGGAGCAGGGCCACATGCGTGGGCAGCTGGCAGGCACAGCTTCGTGGCAGGCGTGGGGTGGAGGTGGAGCTGGTCATGCAGGGGACACCGTGCGGCCTCCCCAGCTGCCCACTCACCTGGCTCTGCATGCTGGCTGTGACATGGCACCAGGCCACAGAAGAGGGTGCCGGGCAGGGGAGCCCAAAGGGGCTAAGGACACAGCCAGGCCACAGCCCCTCAGGGGCGCAACGCCCTCCAGTCTCGGCTTCTCCTCCTCTTCTGCACGCAAAGGGGACTGGCCGGAAGCTGGCCGGGCTCGGGTGCGCTCATTTGCACGGCTCAAGTCCTCCTCGGAAAGGTCTTGTGCACCTACTCCTCTAAGTTTCCTGTTCCCCACAAGAGCCTTCTACACTGGAACAATCGTTTTATGTTACGCACACAGAAGCTGAGGCACACACTGTCTTGTGTAGAGAACCCTAATACGGATTATGCCCAAAGCAGTGCAGGCTGTGAGGAGCTAACCCCACAACCGGTTGTTTATAGGAGTGAGCCTGGCTGAAGCCTACGTGCCCAGGTCAGAGTAACTCACACCCAAATTCCGTTCCCACAACTAAAACCTTCAGACTAGAAGGACAGTTTTCCAGTTACAAGCATAGATTTTGTGTATTCTGTTCCTGATTCAAGAATGCTTTGTCTTGTCCTTTATGAGCCTTGTTTACCTTAATTTCCATAGAACCTGCACGTGGCTGGCCTTTACCCCAATGGATTCCCAGTAAAAGTCAGCACCTGGGACTGGCCAGGGCCTGTGTCGGTTGCGCTGACATTGGTCGTCCGGGCCCCGCTTTCTCTCCTACCTCTGTCTCAGTGTGTTTATTTCTCAGGCCTGTGTCGTATACTGGGCAGGCGACTGGAACCTGACTGCAGGGCTCTCTGGCAGTCTCAGATTTACATTTCTTGAACAGAACTGGAAGTTAAAGATCTCAGAGCATCTCCTTACAAGAGACTTGCGCAGTACCAAGGGGGAAGCAGCAGTAGCTTCACAGGAGGGAGACATGGACACCACCCTAGCCCAGGATCGCACCCCTCCCCATGAGGGTGCCAGGACGCAACACTGCAGCGGGGCTCAGACCCACAGAAAGCACCTGACAAGCACAAGCTGAGGGCTTTTCTGTGGAACGTGCCGGCCTCCAGTCGGAAGAGGTGCTTGCATAGCAGTATGGATGAATTTAAGCCCCAGGATGGCTTGCTTCAAAGGGCTTATCTCATGTTTCATGGATTTCACTACCATTTCAAATAAGGTGAAGTCAAGGTTATGAAAACTAGAGAAAAACTGAAAAACAGTCACAAATTGGAGGCGACTAAAGAGATGTGACAACTGGTGGCACATGGGATCCTGGAATAGAAAAGGGCATTAGAGGGACAGTTGGAGAAATGTGAATAAAGTATATATGCAGTGATCAAAATATACGGTGACTGCTTAAATTTTTAAAAAATGTACAATGTAAGACACATTGCCACGAAACCCCCTCAAAATATTTCTCTTCCCCTTGACCACGCTTCTCCTGTGTTCCTGACACTCTGCAGCAGCTCTGGAGTCCTCTTTCCTGGGCTTCTTTAGGTGTGACCAAAAATAGTGACTGCTGCCGAGCGCCCCCCAGCGGAAAGGCAGCTCATGAAACCATGATGCCATGTCCTCATCCACCTTATTCCCCAGATGTGGCACCTCCTTATGGGAAACTCCTGGCGACTCCTGGCTCTTCCCCAAAGTCAAAACCACCATGAAAGGGCAATGTGCTGAGCTCGCCAAGGACACCAGGGCAGCCAGGACAGCACAGCTGGGTCAACCTCTCCGGGGCCCCTGCTCTGCTGAGGAACAAATGCTGCCTGGGTCACCTATGAGCTTCCTGAGGGAGGGCATGCACAAATGAAGCCTCCCTTCAGGGGAGTGCACTGCTCAGTCTCCTGCTCTGCTGTGAACCCGTCTTTGCAAAGGGGTCTCACTATGTCTCCCCAGCTGGCCCTGGACTCAGCTGCAAGTGCCAGGACGACAGGCGCACACCTCCATGCTGGCTCACGGCGAAGTCTTTCCCTTCTTGAGGTGACTCGGGTTGGCACATCTTGGGTGCTGGGCCCACAGATGGGAACCAAAGGTCAGGACGCGAGCCTGTGGCCATGCTGCCCACAGCCCTGGCTGCCACTTCCACCTGGGTCCCTTGGTTCCCCTCTCCTCCTGCTGCCTTCCTGCTGGTTCTGCAGCGAAGGTGCTCTTGGTGGAGACAGCTCAACAGGGATGGCGAAGGAGCGCTGGGCCTGTCCTCCCGCCACCCTCTTGTTGGGAAGGCCACAGGTTAGGGTGGGGGCTCAGGGGCTTCTGTGCAGTGGGAGGCCCCACTCGCCTCCCTGCCAGCCCTGCTCACGGGCAGCGCGGCCAAGGGAAAAAGCCTCGGAGCACCACCAGGAGGGCAGTCTGGGCTGGGGAAGAACATGCCTCCTCAGCCAGCTCCGGGTGACACCCATGCTGCAGGCCAGGGCCACCTGGAGGAGTCCTGCAGGTCTTTCTGTGAGGGTCCCACGCTGGGCAGGCGCCCTTGGCTGGCTCACCCTTTAAACTGATACGGGGCAGCTCTGAAGAGAACCCTAAAACCCACAAGCCTGGTGGGGAGGGCTTCTGTGTGCTGCCAGCCTCGGGTGGGCGTTTCTAAGAGTCAGGCTGATCTTGAACTAGGTAGCCCAGGCTGGCCTTGAACTTGTGGCAGTTCTCCTGCCTCAGCCTCCCCAGTGCTGGTTGCATGGCTCCTTGGTAACTGTTAGTCTCCCTCATGTGGGAGGGATCTGATCAGGGCGGTGATGTTGCTGAGCGGCTGAACCACAGCGAGCAGCAGCAGTCGATCCTCTTGCCCTCCCCAGAAGAAAGTCTTCCAGACAGAGGGGCAGGGGAGACTGACACACGCAGCTCTACGCAACTGACGGCACCCGAGCCGTGCCTAGGCCCGCCCTCCTCAGTCTGGCTGGCGCTGATAGACGGGCCGCCACGTCCTCTCCGCTTCCATTTCCAGGGCCCTCGTCAGAGGCTGGCTGCCTACAGCTCCCCGCAGGGGACACCTTTGTGCAGAGACGTCTTGTCGCTGGTCTAGAGTGCGAGGAGCTCGGCGGGGTTCTTCCTGTCCGCAGCCAGGCTGGGACGCACTCCCGTGGACGCACTCCCGCACGGCCCATGGTGTTGGGAGGAGTGTACAGGTCTCTGGTGCAGTGTTCTTCTCTGACGTGAGAGCTGGGGACGTCCACTCTGTCCAGCTAGAAACTGGGGGCAGAGTCACAGCGGCTGCCTGAGGCCTCTGCTCTGGAGAGGGACACTCAGGAGGCTCAGGGGGAGGTGCGGAGCCGTTGTGTTGATGATAATTCAGCACTGCCACCGACGGCAGGCCTGAGGTTTGCCCCACACAGTGCTGAGGACACCCCAGCCCTCAGAGGTGGCTCCTGCAGCCCTGGAGCTGGCCCCCGGGGGGCAGGATTCTGAGGGTGCTGTGGAGTCGTCCACACAGCCTGCTGCTTTCCTACCTGCGATGAAACTTAGGAAAAAAAGCACATGGAGAACAAATACTATAAACTCGATCTGAAAACAGCCTCAAAAAACTCGATAGCCACAGAGCGTGGGGTCTCAGGGCTTGACTCCAGGGCACAGCCGTCTCAGCAGAGGGGAGGTTCCCGAGTGACCTCTCTACTCGTCCATGGACACGGCGGGACCCTGAGCTGTGCACAGAGCAGGCCGCAGCCTCCCACACTTGCCTCTGGCTCAAGTCTGTTCTCTGCCTCACCCCCACAAGAGACTCCGGCCTTTCGCTGTAGCCGCGGTGAACCTGGTGCCAGAGAGCCGAAAAGTCTTTTAAAGACACAATTTAAAAGCCCCTCATGCAAGACAGGGTGCAGTGAAACAAAGGAACTCTGAAGTAGGGAAAACCCTGGGCCCTCGGACAATCTGCCCTCCTGCGGGTTGGCCAGGACAGAGACAGCAATGCTGGAGGAGGTGTGGAAAAGTTTTATTGCATCGTTTCCATGTGGAAGCACTGACTGAATTGAAAAGAGGCAGCATGTTCCACCTTCAAAAAAATCACAGGGCTGGATCCACTTCCTCCCTACCCAGGTCTAGATCCAGCAAGACTCCCCCCACCCCACCCAAGCCAAAGCTAAAAAGGGAGCTCTGTGGCAACTGCTTACAAAACCAAACCAGGGTGCAGAATTCAGATGGTCAGGGGTTCCGTTAAGGCCCTCGCCTGCCCCCGGCATGTCTGGTTCTTTCCCCTCGCCCAGGAGCTCCTCTCGGGGAACCTCGGCCCGCAGTGCCCCCGAGTGGGAAGGCTGCGCTGCTCCCTGGGCGTCCCTGAGCCCAGCCAGCGGGATGCCATCTGTCCCCCTCGGGATGCGGCCCGGCTTCGTGGCTGCCCAGCCTCGCAGAGCTGAGACGCAGCTCTGTGCCTCTTTGGGCCCTAGTGTCAGCACGGAGCCCACAGGGCTGATGTCTCACCAGGGAGCGGATGGGGTGGGCGGCGGAGGAAGGAGCGGCGACACAGGGAAATGGAGCTTGTCTGAGCGGCATGTCTTCCCTCTTGATTGTGTAAGGCATTTTGAACAGAAAAACTTTCCTTCCCACGCTTGAACAACCGGAGGGCTCTAACTGCTGAGTGACTGGGAACACAAATGAGACCCGCCTCTCTCCCCACCCCAGGCCCAGCGGCACAAGGCAGGGTGTGATCTTGCAGGGTAGGAGCAGATTGTGCCTGCCTGCCAATGCTGGCATCCCGGGCCGGGCCTCGGGGCCAGCAGTCTTCTGTGAGGTCGCCAGTCCCCCGGGCGCCCGCTGTGGCCTCCCAGGCAGTGGGGGCAGGGCCGCTGGGCTGTACTGCACAGGGCACGCCTTGTACAGTTAGGACACGAGGCACAGCGTGGGGAGAACACCTCCGCATTAGTCACGCCAGACAGAGCAGAGAGGGAGCCAGAGGCCAGAGAGGTGATTTTAAAAGAAAAAAGAGCAGCTTCGGTCATCAGAAAATCAAAAGGATGATTCTTAAAAAAATAAAACATGGGGAGTCATTTTTTTTTCTCTGCAATGCTCAGCCATTTCACTTGAGACATAAAAATGTTTTAAGAGTAGTTGTTTTGCTTTTCGGTCTACACATTCATGAGGACAGGTCGGGCGGAGGTGCTGGATGTGGCTGTGTCTGGTGGCAGTGCCGTGGGACCTCAGACCACGTACTGGTAGGGGTCGGCCTTGCCGTGGTCTGGTGTGGCAAAGGGGCTGGCCCAGCCCAGAGAGAAGGGGTGGCCGAAAACGGCTTTCATGTTCATCCATTTTGTTTTTTTAGCCCATCTTCTCTCTTCCTTTTTCAACTGTTCTATTCCCTGAAAACAAGAACAATCACACTTTCAGTCACGCACTGTGCCACTGGAGTTTCGGGGAAGGACGCCTATTACCTCAAGGAGGCTGGAGGAAATGCTTTCCTGGAAGGCACCTACATAACGTATTTTCTTTCCGTCTCTCACAGGAAGCGTCATTAAAACAAAACCCTACTGCTTTTGCTGGGCACACCTTTACACGTCCCTCCAAAAAGGAGGGAGAATGAGCCCATGGTCAGGTCCCAGAGCCACTGTCCCCAGTGTGGGGAGGCGGAAGGACCAGGCCCAGGTGCCCCGGGCTGTGCTGTGGGGCCGTGGGCGGCGGGAAGCCTCGGAACGGGCAGGAGCCCGCTCTCCAGACAGATGCCGATGGTGGCTGTGCATTTGGGACAGATTCACGGGAAGCTGAAGCTACTGTGACCACTTTGCAGACAAAAAAAAAAGAAGAAAGAAAAAGACAAAGGAAAGAGCAAAAAGCAAGAACTCAAAGGGCTGGTGTGCACCGAGCGAGGAGGGCACAGGAGCCAGAGGGGAGGCGGCGCGGGTCGGCGGGGAGGAGGGCGCGGCTGTTTCGGGGCCTGCGTCTGCGTCTGCGTCTGCGTGGGACGGCCCGTCTGAGACTCCGCTGCCCGCCTAGGGCCCGGCAGGTGAGTCAAGGTGGGACTCGGCCCTCTGCCCCTCTCCTCCTTCCCAACAAGGCTGCCCCCGGGATCCATCTGGACCTGAATCCTGAAACCAGCAGGGCCTGCCGGTGGGCCGCGCTCCCGCGGGTCTCAGGCAGAGAAGCGGTCACTTCCTGCCGGCTAACACGGCTGGGTCCACACCGCTGGCTGCGGTTTCTGCAGCTCTGTGATGGTGCTGTTCCCCCTCGGGAAGAGCAGTGGCGGGAAGCCCCCAACCTCCTCACCCCACTGGGCCCCTGGCCCCACCCTGGCACCCTGGCACGGGCAGCAGGTCCCTCTTCTCTGCTCACTGCTTGCCTGGCCACAGCGGGCTGGCTCTGTCTTCCTGCGAGGCTCCACGTGACCCTGGCGGCCCAGGAGCCCGGGCCCAGGCCGCTCTCAGCGCTGCCTGGAGTTGGACGCGGACCCCACGGTCTGTTCCCCCGCTCGGAGCCAGGAGCTGCCGCTCTCCCCGCGGCCCTCTGCCCCTCGAGGCTCCTGGTCACCACAGGAAGCTCAGGAGGTGGCAGTGGGGGCAGGAGGGAGGCAGGCTCCAGTCTGGGCCAGAGGAGAGGGAAGGCTGGGAGGAGGACAGGGCATGGTGGGGACCCCGCTGCTACAGGAGCTCGCTGCCCTGGGGGCTCTGCCTCCCGGAAGCCGCCGTGCCTGTGCCTGTCCCCGTCCCCGTCCCCGTCCCCGCTGGGTCAGGACCCTTTTCCCCACGCTGGTGGCCTCCAGAGGTGTGCAAAGGATTGAGGGCCGGGGAGGAACGCGCCGAGGGCTGCAGGGCGCGTGCAGGAAGATCTCCCAGGGTCACCCCCCGGCCTGGGTGCAGAGTGGGGTGCAGGCACCTACCGTCTCGTCCGTGCAGATGGAGTGCACCTGCGTGCCGAACATCACCGACGTGAAGATGAGGAAGAGCAGCGCCTCGAAGCACAGCAGGATGAGGAGGATGACCGTGGTGGGCGGGGAGAAGGAGCTGCACTCTGGAAGAGAGGGGCCGTGGGCTAGGGCTGCTCTGCGCTGGCCCAGCCCCGCTGCACCCCTCCGAGGATCTGTCCCTGGGCCCAGGCACAGCCCTGGCGGTGGAGGACTGGGAGGGCTCTGAACTGGGCGTGAGGGGCCCGTGACAGCCCGGGCAGGGACGTGGGGCGGCGCGGTGGTCCAGGGGTCCCCGGGCACTGTGGTACCGACCAGGGGCCCCAGAGGTAGGACAGCAAAGACAGGTCGGCCGCTTGGTGGCACCAGAATGTGAGGCCTGGCCCCACCTGCAGCGACGCCCGAACCCAGGGTGGGGTGTTGGCTGAGGAGTGGCCCGCAGCAGGTGCTCCCAGCAGCCTGACCTGGAGACTGGTGCCCTGGTCCCACCAGCCATGGGCCCTGCACTGCGAGCAGCCCTGTCAGTTTATTCTGAGTGGAGGACTCTTTTGCCTGAACAAAGCCCATGTGAGGAACCAGAACCCTAAAGAGCGGCTAGGAGCTTCGGGAGGTGGTGGGGTGGATGGAAAGAGCCCGGGGGCAGCCCCAGGTCCAGGAGAGGTGCACACCCAGGCACAGGGACAGTCCCCGCAGCACCTGGGCCCAGGGCACCTGTGGCTCTGTACTCAGAGCTGCCTGGGCTGGGGCGAGACAGGGCCAGCAGCTGCCCATAGGATCACCGGAGGGGCGGGAAGCTACAGACAGGAGTGCTGGGGACAGGCCTGGCGGTGGGGCCCAGCCGTTTCATCTCCAATGCTCCCCGTTCCAGGCTCCCCAGGCCTTGCCAAGCAGGGCGTGGTCGAGGCCACCAGCCTGGTGGACAGGTGGGCAGCTCTAGGCACAATTTCCCCAGCACCGGCTCTGAGCCCGGCCCTGCCCACCCTGATGGAGCAGCCGATTCTTCCTGCCCTTGCTCAGATCTGCCTGTCTTGCTACCCCTCCAGCTCTGGGAGCAGACTTTTTTTTTTTTTTTTTGGTAAGAAACACCACATTTTAACTGTTTAATTTTACAAATACATTTGCCCACCTAGTTTGCTACATTTTCCCGAGCATAATTTTTTTTTTTTTTTTTTTGGTATCGGGGATCGAACTCGGGTCCTTGCGCTTGCAAGGTAGGCTGTGGAGCCACTGAGCTAAATCCCCGGCCCTGGGAGCAGACTTTGTCTTGCTCACAGCTGTACAATCAGCTGGGGAGCTGTGCCCAGCAACAGCGGAACCTGGCAAGGGACTGGGCTCCTGAGAACGGGCTTTCCCTCTGTTCATCAGAGAACATCTGCCTGGCCCAGCCTGGCACAGGCGCATGGGGCGCTGGCTGGAGGGCGGGCCATGCCCCGCCTCACCTGTCTCAGCTGTCCAAGTACCTGGCGCTGGGTGCCAGGAGTTGGGAAGGCAGGACCCGGATGCCAGGAGCGGCCCCACCTCCCTGCTGAGAAGCCTCATCCCGTGGGCTAGCCCTCCCCTCTACACAAGCTCTGGAGGCCCGGTGGCTTGGCCAGGGCTGAGCAGTGGTGATAGCGACCGTCACCCATAGGCACTGTCCTGGGAATGTGACCTCTGCCCGGAGTCCTGACCACAGGGCACCAGGAGCGTGGCTGGGAGGGCTCAGGCCCTGGAGCCAGCCAGGTCGGCCAAGCGCCCTGCTCCAGACCACAGCTTGAATGGCAGGCTCACTTCTTAGCTGGGGAGCTGGGGACCTGCTCAACCTCTGGGTGTCCCAGCTACGTGGGGTGCAGTCCCTGTCCCATGGGGCTGCTGTGAGGCGGGAAGAGGCACTGCTCAGAAGCCCTGCACCGGCCCCTGCCCGAGCTATCCCCCACTCTGCTGGCCGGGGCTGAGGGCAGCGTCTGTGACAATCTCATGTCCCCTGATATCCCAGGCAGATGCCCGTCAGTTGGCCAAGCGGTTGGGGCTGGCTGGAGACCCTCAGCTGTGCAGATCGGCAAGATCCGCAGCCCACACTCGCCCCGCTGTGGCTTCTGCCAGTCTGGGGCCAGGCACCCTGAAGCTGGGTGCTGTACAGGAAGAGCAAGAGGCCTGTAGGTGGTGGATGGAAAAGGGCACCCACCATAGGGAGGCTGGTGGGATGCACGTGCCTTGCTGAGACACTGGTCTCACAGGTGCTTTTTAAATTGTTTATTAGTAGTGTTTGTGACACATAATAACTACATTCACCCTGGGGAGCTGGTGCATACGCATGTTGCATCTTTGTGTGTGCGGTAATGGGGACTGAACCCAGGGCCTCAGCACTGAGCTACATTACCAGCCCTTTTCTATTCTGAGACGGGGTCACCCTAAGTCACTAAATTGTCCAGGCTGGGCTTGAACTTGCAGTCCTCCTGCCTCAGCCTCCCAGAGTCCTGGGATTATAGGTGCGCGCCACATCCAGCAACACATGGAATCTTGATCACCTGGCTCAGATTCTGAGTGTGGAAGATCCAGCCGAGCAGGAGGCTTCACCCCCCACCCGTCTGTGCCAGCATCTATTCTCCCTTTCAGGGTCTGTGCAGTCCTCGGGCTGGACTTCCTCTCTTGGCATCTGCACAAGTAAGTGGAACACTTCCAAAGCAGGAAGAACTGGTCTATGGTCATATAAATTGATGATTATCAATATAAGCAGATGAAAACAATCAAGCACAAAAAAACAAATGCAAAATCTCCGAGAGCTAGTCAGGAAGTTAAAAATGTATGCCTGCAAGATTGGAAGGAAGTGGCCTTTGATGAAAGTGCCCCATTAGGGCTGGGGACTAGCTCAGTAGAAGAGTTCCTGCCTAGCATGTACGAGGCTCTGGGTTCGATCCCTGATACCGCAGGAAAAAAAGGAAAAAGAAGAAAAGCGCCTGACTCCAGAAGAGGCGATGCTCTCCTGCGGGTGGCCCTGGCAGAGCCCTGGGGTCTGTGTGTGTCTGGCCGGCCGGCAGGCCTGTCACCCTCCGTGTTACCTGCTGGCCTGACAGTAAGGGGCTGCGCTTTCGCATGGAGGGAGACTGGGGCCTCTGCCGGTCCTGCCCTGTCCAGTCCGTAGGCTCGTGGGAGATCTGATGAAACGAGGGTGGCCCTGGCACCTCGAGGTGACACAGCCCCCAGCCCCGGCCTGTGGGCCACACCCCCTCGGCGGCGGGCGGGCGCCTGGCGTACTCACTTGTCCAGTCTTCCTCGAAGCAGTGTAGGAAGTGGACTCCCACCATGACGAGGGCGTGCAAGGAGATGAGCGCTATGTACATCTGAAACGGGAGAGCGGGCCTGGGCCAGGTGACCGGCACTGCCGGGGCGGGCGGAGGGCAGCGGTGACTCCAAGGCCCCCGCCCGGGTCTCTGGGTCTCGGGACACCGGGGCCTCCCCTTCCCCGCAGCTCGGGGGCCGAGGGCAGCGCCAACGCCATCTTCGCCGGGCTCTCGGGCCAGCCCTGGGGCGAAGCAGGACGTGGCCTTGCTGCCAGGCTCTCCGTGCTCAAGTGCAGGGCACCTGCTGAGCTGGAGCGGAGCCTCTGAAGGGGCAGCGTCCAGGGGGCGGGGCGGGGCGGGGCGGGGCTTCCCATGGCCGGGGGCGGACTCACTGTAAACAGGACAAAGTACTTCTGGTTGTTCTCGCCGACACAGTTGTTCACCCACGGACAGTGGTGGTCCATCTTGCGGATGCAACGCTTGCAGACACTGAAAGAGCCCACAGTCAGACCTTTAGGGGTGCCCCGTGTGTGTGTGGGAGGCGAGGGGAACGAGGGACCCCACCCCAGCTCCTGGATGTGAAGCAGCTGCCCTGGGCACTGGGGTCTCCGGGTGTGTCCTGCCAGGGGCCAGGCCGCCCCGCCTGTCCACTCTGCTACTAGGGCCAAATCCGCGCCTATCCACGTGCGCACCACACACAACGTGCACTGGAATCACAGGACTTGGTCCCCGGGCACGATCTAAAAGCAGGACAGGGAGTGAGCAGCGTCCCCTGTCCTGGGCTGCAGCCCTGCACCCAACCCCAACACCAGCTCGGCTCGGCTCATTCCCCTGGTTGGTGGCCGCCCTGCCAGCTCCCCAGTGTCTCCTCCTCCATTGCCAGGGGAGCATTCCACTGTGTGACCTCTCGGCAGCCTGCACCTCGTGGCAGAGGTGCAGGGTAGCTACAGTTTAAACAAACACCACAGCAGTCACTGTCCATGCCCGCCTGGCCTCACTGAGCCGGTGGACACCAGGAAGCAGGCTGCAGGTGGTATGGCCCGTGGCGCGCGCACACACACACACACACACACACACACACACACACGAGCATGGGCACTGGCACGCATCGCGTCTGGGGCACAAGAGTGAGGCAGCCCCGGAGGGCAGGTGTCGGGCTGTCAGGCCCTGAGGTCCCAGTGTCCCCTGCATGGCCCGGGGTGTAAAGGCCGGAACAGGGGAAGGACCTCTGGCTCAGGCCTGCTGTGTCACACAGGGAGCTCGAGGGGCCCAGTGTGGCCCTCCACCCCAAATGAGGCCCATGGGGACTGTCACTTCACAGGGGCCCTCGGACAAGGCCACAGAAGCTCCCTAGTTATACTGAGCCGGGGCTGCCAGCCACGCCAACAGAGCTACCTCCTGCCCACCTGGCTGGGGACAGCCCCAGCCCTTCTGTGTGGCAAAGCCACATCCTGATGTGCCTCCTCCAGGCTCTTTCCATCATGCGCCTGGCTGCCCGCTCTGCTCTCTCTCTAGCACCTGCCCCGTGTCCCAAGGACCAGCCACTATGGCCTGGGAGCTCCTGGGCACAGGACAGGGCACGCAGCGACAGTCACCAAGCGACCCAACGCCTTACACAATGTCCTCGCCTTCCAGGTCTCCCAGGCCCTGCCTGTGCTCCGTGTTAAGGTCATGAAGAGGGCGGACCCATCTCCTCTCCTCCTACCATTTTCCAGGACTTGCGCTCTCGTGGGCTGGACAAGCTTGGGGGTCCTGTGCACCCGCCCACTCGGGCCTGTCCCTGTCCCCCGGGAGGCGCCTCATCCTTTCTTGGCGTGCACCCCAGGGCATTGGCCGGGACGCTCCTGGCTCCCTGGGGACTTGCAGCAGGCAGACAAGCTGTGTTCCGGGGACTCAGCTCTGGGGCAGCCTGGAGGACTAAGGGGCCAAGGCCTGACGGGGTTTTCTCTTCACACCATGCTGGTGCCAACAGGAAAATAAGCAGGAAAGCAGACGGTGCCCTGCTGCCATGCACAAGTGGCCTTGGAAAAGCCAAGCAGCGCGGGTGGATAGGGGACGCAGGTCCTCCACTGCTGGGCACCAGTAATGTAGCGAAACGCTCAGAACACTACCCGTGCTGGGCAACCTTCCTGGTAATCGTCACCCGGGGGCAGAGCCGGGGCTGCCACCCTTGGCCTGGCTGAGAGGTGTGTCCCCTCCCAAGGGAGACTGACTGCGGACGCCGGAGGAGTCCTGCCGGGTCGCCCAGGGAGAGACCCGGAGCCAGACGGACACAGCACAGTGGCGAGGGCCGTGGAGCTGGCAGGGCTGGGGTGGGGGACAGCAGCCTGGCACAGCACACACATGCAGCTTCTCCAACAGGCAGCCCCTGGGCCCAGCCAGCGCACACAGCCAGTCCGCCCAGTGTGGGGCCGTGGGTCCCCAGAGGGCCAGGCCGCCACGCTGTCAGCGTTTCCGAGCAGCAGCAGGCTGCCACTGCAACCCGGCGCCCCAGCCCGGCACCCCGTCTGTCCAAGCTGCTGGGTCGACAGCCTGGCGTCAGCCCCGGGAGGGAGGCCAGGAGCAGCGCGGGGCTTGCAGGGCACAGGCAGGGAGAGACAGGAGCCGCTGTGGCCGCCCACAGCTCCTCCCCGCGAAGCCCAGCGCCAGGAGCCCAGCACACATCCTCTCGTCACCAAGGGGCTGCGCCGGGTAGAGCTGGGCGACTCACGGGGTTTACACGGGATCCTCACAGCCAGCCTGCTTGGCAGAGAAGGGACGGGGTGCTGGGGACAGCGCGGCACCCCACCTTCCACCTCTCCCAGGTCCTGGCCAGAGCCTGGCCCGGCCCATGGAGCAGCCCCGGCAAGCGGGGTTTCACGGGCCACTCCCGAGCACCAGGTCCTGACCAGGAAAAAGGCGAGGTTTACGTCCCCACCTCGGGCAGACACCCAAGACACACACCCCACAGGGGCAGCAGCCCCACCGGCCCTGCGCACACGCCTGGAGCGGGTAGCCTGGAAGGAGGAAACACGACGGCGGCGCCGCGGCAGGGCGGGCACGGGGCCCGGGCGCTGGAGGTGGGCCCGCCTCCTGGGTGCCAGGTAGGCCATGCAGAAAGGACCTCTCTCGCTCGGGTCCCTCACACCACCCAGGTCCTGACCAGGATGACTTCCGAGAGCAGACTCTGGGCCTCACCCCATCCCAAACACTCACATGGTGGGAAGGGGGACCCAGGGACGCTTGTGTCTGTGATGGGCACCTCGAGTCCTCTCATGATGACACTGCGGTAGGTGTAGCGCGATGTCTTCCAGTCAGGAAGACAACACCACGAAGAACTCAGAGCACGAAGGGCAAACTCACTGCCGAGAAGATGCGACAGTGGGTTTGGGGCTAAGTTCTACACGGTTGGACCCTCTGCAAGCCTTCTCTCCAGCCCAACGCTCACTTTATGTGCAAGACAGCAAAGAAATGACCTTTTCTTGTTTTTGGTTTTGTTTTTTTTTTCGTACTGGGGATGGAACTCAGGTTCTTGCGCTTGCACAGCAGGCGGCAAAACCACTGAGCTACATCCTCGGCCCTGTTTTTGGCTTTTTGAGACAGGGTCTTGTTATGTAGTTCAGCTGGCTTTCAACTAGGCAGCCCAGGCTGGCTTCAGACTCATGGCAGTCCTCCTGCCTCAGCCTCCCAAGTGCTGGGATCACAGGTGTGCGCCACCACGCTCGGCTCACAAATGCACTTCTAAGGCTGTCTCTCTTGGCACCCTGTCATGAGGATGCGCGGTAGGAGGAAACCCAGGAGTCCCTGCTGTTTCACGCATAGTGCAACGAAGGCTGGCACCGGGGGTGACAGCACCCGGAGGGAGACTCAAGGTGCTCATGCTGTGCCCGAGCAGGGGACACTGGGAGTCCTGCTGTGGGCCTGGCAGGGCGCACAGGCGCAGGAGGCCGTACCTGCAGTGGTGTGCGCGGTCGGGTTTGATGCTGCAGCACTTGGGACACTTGTACACCACCTGCCCAGGCTTCAGCTGCAGGCTCTCTATGAACTCCTTCGTAGCGTTTCCCTTGGGCACCGCTCCCTGCAAGAGAGGAGAGGTCAGGGCTGGGCTGGCGGCTGTCAGCCGTCACCATGCAGCAAGGTGGGCACCTCACAGCTGCCACCACACCCGCACACGGACCTGTTCAGAAGGACGGGGCACGGAGGACACTTACTGACCAAAGGGCTGAGCAGTTTCCTACAGGGCAGCTGCACCGTGGCGGGTATTTTGCTTTTGTTTCTCTAACCCTGCTTTCACTGAACCCATTCTCCCCAAGTCAACATCACAAGGACGATTTCCCCAGCTGCGAAGTTTCCTGGCACAGCCTGGGTCTGTGCGTGTCCCCTTCGAGCAGCTCACCTCCCAACCCCGCTGATGAGCCCTAAGCACTGGGAAGGGTTTGGTGGATTTTACTCCTCCCAGACAACCACTGTGACTGCGCTATTCTCAGTAACTGCACGGGCAACGGGAGCCAGGGCCCAGGCATCTGCCCCTTCTGGCCAGGCTGCTGCTCACCTTCTCGCTGGCCACTCTTTGGGTGGAGCCAGCGGGAAAGGATGCAGGCCAAGCCCACAGGGCAGGGGTCCTGGCAGTCGGCCCCTGCTCACTGCCGGGGACTCGAGTCGGCCTCCAGGGCCTCTCCGGCCTGGCGAGTGACCTGCTAAAGTGGCTCCATGTGCAGAGGCTGGAGCACAGGGGAGGAAGCAGCCGCCTATGCAGGGAGTCAGAGAAGTTTGAGTTTTCAGAAATGAAAGCTCATGGTGAAAGCCAGCGTGGCAACACCCGCCTGTAATCCCAGCTCCTGGGAAGGCTGAGGCAGGAGGAGCGTAGGCCAGACTGGGATGTAGCTCACAGCAGCGTCTGCCTAGTGTCTGTGAGGCTCTGGGGCCCCTCCCCGTACAGCAAGTGAGAAGAGCAATGGTGCTGCAGGGCTGCCCCGAGTGGGGAGAGGGTTTCCAGGGGGAGCTGCGGGGGACAAGGTCAGCAGATGAGGGGCCCGTGGAGGGGCAGAGGGGACAGTGGCACGCCTGAGTCAGCAGGGCAGCCAGGGCAGTGGGCAGGGCCGCCCTCCCTGCAGGTTCAATGCCAGAGGTTTCTTTACAGGGACCGTGGAGCCCGCGTGAACGGTGACAGCAGACTCAGGAAGAGGCTCCCTGTGCGTGCGGGCGGACCAGATCAGGCCCCAGATGCTCAGGAGGCACTCTGATGGTCTGGGAAGGAGGCTGAGCCGTGCGGACACAGAAAGGAGGGGAATACAGGCTGTTTCCAGAGTGGTGGTGGGGACAGGCGGGGAGAGGGGCACCCTGGAGCCCTCGAGAACAGTGGAGAAGCACAGCGTATGTGTGACCACTGGGACCCGCAGGGCCTAAGGGACACCCAGGACAAGGTATGGGGGAGTGGCCAGGAATGGGCAGTGGCTCGCAAGGGTAAGAGGCACCCCTGCCTGGCCTGGGGAAGGCCTGGGCCTGCTCCGCCTACGCCTTCTGAGCGCTGCCCTGTGCCGCCGGTGTGAGGACCTGCAATCCCAGGCTCCACCCCAACTGCTACAGCAGCAGTACTGCTGCCTGCTTCCCCACAGGCACGAGCTCCAGGGAACTGCACAACTCAACCCACACCCAGAGCGGAGCCCCTCCCTGGCCCGGGCGCATCTACCTCCCCCTGCAGCCGTGGGAGACCCAGCCGCCGCCCTTGGCTCTTCCCGTCTCACCCAGCCCAGCTGTCACCGGCCCACCAGCAGCGTCCCCGAGCCTTGGGCCTGCAGCCTGTCCTCTCCTGACGTTAATGCCCAAGACTGGATCTGACCACGGACCCTGCCCACAGCCCAGTCCCGGGACCTCGGGACCGTGGACCAGAGAGAGTCCCGGGGTGGGCAAGGCCCAGAGCCGCCTCCCTCCTGCCCCAGCCAGCCCCAGGGCCCCCCACCTCCCTGCCACTCCCAAGCCCACAGGGCCACCCCTTCTGCCTGTCCTGACAGCCCAGGCCGAGCCCACAGGCAGCTCACGTGTGGGTCACAGCACACTCCGTGTAACTGCACACCGCTCCACACCGTGACTGAGCCCCGGATCGCAGCTGGGTCTTTCAACTTGCAGGCAGCACACTGCCCCGCCTGGCACGGAGCCTGCATTCACCGAGCCCATGTCAAGAAGTGAGGCAGAGGCTTTACTGTGCCAGGCACAGCTCCAGACGTCTGCGACAAAACTGTATCTTGTGCGCCACTCTGACCACCAGCCTATGTGGCGGAGACTCCGGGATCCTCATTTTATAGATGAGGTAACTGAGGCGGACAAGCCAGTGACTTCCCAAGACCACACAGCTGTCCCCGGCAAGAACAGGGACCCAGAGCCCAGCCACCGCGTCTAGAGACGCAGCCACCACAGAAGGCGGGCGCAGCGATGAGTCTCTAGGAAGTGGCCTGGAAAAGTTCTTCTACCCACTGCCTCGAAGCTATTGCCCCCTCCACTGCCCACAGCCACGTCAATACCACACTGACACTAAGGCCGAGACAGGACTGGATAACTGTGTGTTTCAGTAAGGGCGGGACAGTATGACTATGTGAAAAGCACACTGGAGAAAGCAGCAGAGGGTGCAAAATATGCCAACAAAGGATTGAACTTAAGAAAAAAGGTGTGTGTGCTGAGCGTGGGGTGAGCTCGGGGCGGAGGGCCTGCCGAGCATGCGTAAAGGCCTGGCTTTGAGCTCTGGCACCAACAGCAGAATGGAGACCAGGTTGCTTGTGATTTCTTTCTTTTTCTCAGGACCTTGCAGTTGCCAGGCAGGCGCCGTGCTGCTCAGATACACCCCTGGGCCTTGTGATTTCCATGTGGCTCCGGCCTAACTAGCTTCATTAAAAAATGGAAGAAATGTCAGCAGTTTCAAGAACTCAACATGGGTAGCCAAGGCCTGACAAGGTGCTTGTATCATGTCCGGCCCCGGGGGGCGGCGTGTCCCCTTCTACAGCTGTCCCTGGAACAGGGCCACCTGTCTCCTCCACAGACAGGCAGGGGCTGGTGACCTGGATTTGGCCACTTTGCCTCTCTGGAGCCCCAGAGTTCTTGTGGTTGTCTACAAGCCGTTCAGCCGCGGCTGTGGGTGCGGCCTGCGTGAGAGGACGCAGCACTGTGCAGAGTAGGCGGTGCCAGTGCCTCCGGCGGGCCCTTCTCTGTGACACCCAGCACCTGCCTGCTTCAGGAGCCTTTGGTGCAATACGGCTAAATGGGACGGGTTCTTATCCCTTCTTTTCTCAAATCTCAGATTTGAACTAATTTATGAACGTAAAAGAATTAGGTGCAAAGAAGGAGGGGCAAAGTACATGAGCGAGAGGGTTTTTGCAACTGCTGAGGTTGTGCACTGCCGGTGTGGAGAGCCCCGGCGGCCGGGGCTAAGAGACAAGCGGGTCTGTCAGCTGTGAGCACCTTCTGTGAAGACACAGCCCGATCTGAGCGCGAGGCTCCTGAAGGAGTTCACAGGGTGGATGGACTCGGAACAGGGACCGAACTGGCAGGAAACCGGAAGCGGGGAAGGAGAGAGGCTCCAAGATCAGGGATTCCGACTCGAGGCTGTCCTCAGGGGCTGCTCCTCAGGGCGAGCAGGCCACCACAGACCTGGAACATCTGTGTGGCAGGCACATAGGAGGCTCCTCGGGGGGCGGTGCGTAAGCTCAGGGTGGGGAGAAGAGGGTTTCATGGCACCCAGCCGGCCTGAGTCACCGCCGCCCAAGCCCCCGCGTCTCCAGGTGAGCCGGTGGCCAGGGAGATCCGCCTGTCCTTGCCATCTCAGACCCGTCCTCTCCACCCCGTGTCTCGGGGGCAGCATCTCCCGAGGGCGGCTCACGCACGATACGCACGAGGCATTTCCCTCTGCCCCTTTCTGCCCAAGCCACGTGCGGACCCAGGCCCTGCTGCAGTGGACAAAGCTGTGGGGGCTACACCTGCTCTGATGTCGCATCTGAGATGAAATTCAAACCTTGCAGTGGTAGGGCAACACTTTGGTGGGAGACCATGCAAGACTGTCTTTCCTCCTCTCCTTTTTTTCTAGCGGTGCCGATATGCAACACCTACACTGTTTAAAACCTGTGGGTGTAAGTTACTCTGCAGTCATGGGCAATATGAACCCCTGACACCAAAGCATCATAATCCCATTAGGGAAGCCCTGGGGCCTTATGGGGACCCTGCCTCGGGGTTCTGCTTTGGAACGGAGACCTGGGCCCCCAGGGGTGCCACAGGCCACCTCTCCGCAACTCCATCCCACTTTCCATGCCAGGTTTGTGGTACGGAGGCAGGAGGTGACATGATGACCCTGGGTCAGAGCCTGTCTGCAGGACACGCTCCGCTTGCTTCCCTCACTGTGGCAGGGATTCGGCAGTGACCTGGTTTTCCGGTCTGGTTCTTTCTGGGGCAGCGGAACACATCCGGGAGAAGCTGACCAAGGTCTGGCATGTGGTCTTGTGGTTCTCACCTGTTCGGGACTGGAAGCCAACAGCACACTGAGTGAGAACCACACATCCCACTGCAGGCCGGGACGGGGCGGTGGGGGGCCCTCCTGGAGAGGCAGGGCCTGCACAGGTACTGGGGGAACCAGGGGTGAGGCAGCAGGGCCCGAGGCAGAGCCTCCTCTCCCGCTGCCCAGCCCCAGCTCCCCCTCTCCTGCAGGCCTTGGCTCGACACACGCTGCTCCCTCTGCCTGGAGTGCTGCCTGTCAGCCCCTGCCCCAAGGCTCTGACAGGACTGGCTCAGTGTCAGCTCTGTCAAGCAGCCCGCTTCCGTGTCCTTCTGCTGGGAACCATGCTCCTCCTGCCTTGAGGGCAGAAGAGCGGTTGGGGCTCAGCAGCTGGCACACTATAAGCTGAGCAGAAGGGCATCTTTTACCCCTGCAAACCTGATGCAGCAGGTGTCACAGAAGCTTCTGCATAAACCCGACTCGCTTTCAGTTTTGTTTTTTTTTTTGGTACCGGGGATCAAACTTGGGACCTTGCGCTTGCCAGGTAGGCGGCAGAACCAATGAGCTAAATCCTTGGGCCCCTGACTTGTTTTCAGGATGATCGAGTGGACACTGTTGGGAGTACTCTCTATGTCCTGGTGTCAGGACCTTTTGACCACGCCCACGGACCTAATTTCCTCCAGGTGACACTGCTCAGCACGCCTGTGCCCAGGCAAATGCATGACAGGAGGGACCGCCTGGGCCTGTCACTGACATGCAATTGGGCCAGCAAGCTGCCTTCCCTGGGGATGATTTAGTCCACCACCTAAGCCAGCAGGAAATGAGCTCTTCCCCAAGGGGAGTGTGCTCTCCTGGGGCTCAGAGAAGTGACATCTGGGTGCCGGGGCCAATGCCATCCTCGGTGCTTTCTGTCCCTAATTTAAGCCCCACCACAGGCATGGTGAACAACAAAGCCACAGCAGTGTTCACCAACAACGTACTCAGATAATGGACAGGAGGGAGGACTGAGAGCCAGGGCAGGAGGCATGCACAGCCCGGCAGGCTTAGCTAAGTCTCTGAGCAGGTCAAGACGCTCCCCGCTCCCCCCACAGTCACAAGAGGCACCTGCTGAGCCTGAAACAGGCCAGGCCAGCTCTTCAGGAAGAGCGGAGCCTCGCCCGGGCAAAGAGCAGGCTACATCCGGGCAGCTACTGGGATACGTCAAGTCCGCCTGGCTCCAGTGCTGACTTCACTGCCCTGAGTGGAAGCCCAGCATGCTCTCTGGACTGCCCATCTGGCCCCGTCTTTAAGGAGACAGACTGTCTTCCCACCCACAGGGCAGGCTCCTCCAGCAGGGCACTAAGGCAGCATGAACACACACGTCAGGCTGTGGCCGAGACCCATGGGCTGCCACGTCCCACTGCCCTGGCCCGTTCTGCACATTCCCAAGGGGTAGGGGAGCATGCAGGCTTTGGCCATGCAGGGCCAGAGGAGGAGTGTGCGGGCCGGTGAATACGAGCCCAGACATACTCACGGGGTCCGTGAGCATGGCCCGGCAGTGGGAGGCCAGGGCCAGGAAGGCCAGCAGGTTGAACATGATTCCGTTGATGATGCTGTACGCGTAGTCTCGGGATGGAATCAGCATGACAAAGAGGACCACGAACTCCGCGTAGAGGACCAGAAACCAGGTGACGATGGCACAGGCGATGCCACAGCCGTCGCGGATAAACCACATGGTTCCCACGGGCCCAGGGTAAGGAGGTGGCATGCACTTCTCCAGCTGGAGGTACTCTGGCTTCCGCTCAATGTTTCGGAAGTGGTGGGCGGGGGTGAGCATCATAGGCTAGTTTGTCCATCCTGGCATCTGCAAGAGGAGAGAAGCCACACTTGGGTCACCCTGTCAGGACGGAGACTGGACAAGGAGAGCCGCGGGTCTGACGAACAAGCCCTCGAGGCAACGTGAGTCGCCTTCCCACTCCTGACTGGCAGAGAAGAGGGCACCTCCTGAGGGGACAGGCCCTGCCAGGGCCAGCTGGAGCGCAGCAGCAGACCCACAGGAGAGGCAGCACCGGACCAGTCTTCGTTGCTAGGGCTCTGCTGGGCCCATTCTGACTGGAGATGAGAGAGGCAGGCACGGGTGGAGATCAGTGACTGCTTGGGGAAGACCTGGACAGCAGGCCTGGAGGCGAGTGTCCCAGCTGTGTGGGGCTAACAGAAATGGGTGGGAAGAGGACTGGAAGCCAGCCAGGCCCGGCACCAGGCTGCAGCCATGAAGACCTTCCAGCTCCCTGCAGCGCACAGGAGGGTGCTTGGCACAACAGACTCTCTCGTGGGGAGCTCTGGACACAGGCAGGTTTTTCAGCTCTTCTGGGGAAAGGAGACTCTCAGGTCCACTCCCCATGTAGGAGACGGGGCAAAGGGGGAGAAGGCCGGACAAGGAGCTCAAGACCGGTCCCATCTCCCAGCATGGGCTCTGGACCTGCTTCCCTGCCCACAAGGAGGCTGCATCCAGCCCTGGCCTCCGCCTCCCGGGTGGGGGATCGGTGGAGGTGCCTGTGACAGATGACGGAGGCTGGGACACCTTCCCCAGCTCATGGGCTGCATGGGCATCTCTCAGCCGCAATCCTGGCCTCTGGAGACACCAATGACATTTAAGAATCAACGACTGAGTCTCTGCCCCCAGCATGTGCTGCAGGACGCTCCTCCCTCTGCTCAGCCTCCGTTCTCAGAAGGAAACTGATGGCTCAAGTCCACCGCCAGATGCAGGTGCCACAGCAAAGCCACCGGGGGCCCAGTGGTGGAGCAACAAGTAACACCTGGTCTTTGGTTACTCCACAGGGGCCGCCCTGGCTGCCTGTGCCACCTGGAGGGCAAAGGCAGCTTCCCACACTGTGCTGCCTGCCTCGGCTCGCAGGGGAGCACCTGGACCACACAGCGGAGCCTGATGAGGAGGGCAAGGCCAGGAAGACGAGCAGCAGGGCAGCACTACTCCTCACAAGCACAGTCTGGGCCCAGTTGCAGGGTGGCCCCGAGCAAGGCCAGCTCCTGCAGCCGCTGCCCAGGGGCTGGCAGATGGGAGATGGGAGCTGCGTGCCTGTCCAAAGGACGCTCAGCTCAATGGGTCCGCAGTGAGAGCACACGTCGGGACCAAGACGCCACAGAGCGGGTAGAACAGCTCCCTTAAGCAGAGGAAAGAGGTAATTCCTAATGTCCATCAGCTGCAACCTTCTAGCAGAACAACCTGTGCTCTCCAGAGGACAGTGACAACTTCATGCTGCCAGTGACAACCTAAGTGGATTAAAAGCCTCGGGCCTACCTTCTGAAGCACCAAGCAGGGCAGCGGGAAACTGCGGCCCAGGAGTGTCTGGGCCCCGACTTGGACCAGCAAACCCTGAACTCCTAAACTCCACGGGACCCAAAACCAACCAGAGCACACAACAAGCTGACATCCAGCAGGATTCAAGAGCGGACCCAATCAACAGCCGGCCACCCCCAAACGCAGGCCTTCTTGGGCCTCCCTGCTCCCTCCAGACTGGCACACGCAGCACCAGTCACCCTGAAGCGCAAAACCAGTCACCTGTTCCCGGCTCGCACCCGAACCACTCGAGTACAGGAGCTGTGGCCGCTCTGACATCACAGTGGCAGAGGCTGAGCAGTTCTGCTGGAGACCACGTAACCTGCACGTCTGCTGACCTCTGGTTCCCACCAAGTCAGTGACAGAGCCATCGTGACCCTGCCTCCCCTGCATAACGGCTCAGTGTGACGAGGGTCGCTGATAGCCCCCTCCCCACGCCCACCTGTACTGCGCAACCTTCCGTGGAGCCCAAGGCTCATGTGCCCCAACAGTGCCCGCCTGTCACAAAGGGTGTGGCCTTCATGGATGGGTGATCACTAAGGATAAATTTATAATTCTTCTTTAGATCCTTCCAGGGATTAAAGTACGCTCATGGTGCAGTCAGTGACTGTATTCTCTCTGTCAACACCATCCATTCTGGACTGTACGCAGGACGGTGGGTGACTCTGCTTCCTGTGTGTTACTCTGCTGAGGGAGGCCTTCCAGCTACAGACAGACAGGGAGGGAGGGAGGGAGGCAGAGAAGCTGCTCCTGCCGTGGGTACAAGCCTCCCTCTCCTCCGAGATGAGCGATGATGACATAGTCTGCAGTGTGCTGGCTAACGATGTCCTGGGGGCTGCAAAGGCACCTGCTCCGGCCCCTGCCGCTCTGCCGCCTCCTTTGCACAGTCCCTTGTCCTCTCCAGCATGGCTGGCCACTGTCACTTCCAGATGTGCAGCCGCCACTCTGGGCACACTGCTCATGTGGTGCTGCTAACGGGCTGTGAAGCGGAAGGGCTGCTAACAGGAAGCCGGGCTGGACCCCGCAAGGAAGGGGCTCGCTCTGGGCAGGGCCTCGGGGACACTGGCCATCCGGGAGGGTCTGGCCCGCAGCAGCTCCCACACAGGTGTGCATTAGACCAGCGTGTGGGCTCTGTGACCCTATGGCCACCCGAGGCCCTTCTTGTGCCCCCAGGGCTGGGCGGAAGGTGTTCGGGCAGCACCGTATAGCCCATGGGCTGACTCCTGCTCAAGGGGCAGCAAGGGTACAGAGGCGCTGTTCCCACCCCTCCTGGCAAGCAACAGCCAGCAGGAAGTACCACAATAGTCAGCAGGAAGTACTGCAAGAGTTGGCAGGAAGTACCACAAGAGTCGGGGCCAAGTGTTGCCTGCAGGCACCTCCACCCCACACTTCAGTTTTGAAACGTGTCAGCTGAAACCACACGCAGAGAAGGTTGCTTCACCCCGGGCCTCCCAAAAGCAACGGGAGGAGCGTTCCGGTAAGGACGGTAGTCTCAATTAGCCAACAGAACCTGCGAGGGATGTGGGCGAAACACCCTTCGGGAGGGAGGGGAGCCCTGTGTTCCTGCAGCCTGTCCCCGACAGCCAAAGGGCAGACGCAAACCCTCGCCTTTCTATGTGCAACAGGGAAATGCCCGTCCTGGGGCTCAGAAGCAGCTCTCTGGCAGCAACGTCTTCCCATGAGCCCATTCCGCCTGGGTGCTCAGGCCGTGGAGGGACTGCGCGGTGGCCTGTGGGTCCCAGACCCCACCACAGCCGCCAGCCAGACGCCGCTTGCTGTCTCCTTCCTCACGCTGGCACCCTCGGCCCCTAGGGTCTCCTCTCAGTCAACTCCAGAAGACTTTCACGAGCAGCCACTGACTCCATGGAGGGGCTGGGGGCGTCAGGCATGTGCTACCGTGCGTTCCACCACGCCCTCCTCCGGCTCCCAAGCCGCTGCCTCATTGGCTTTCGCCTGCTAACTCACGGCCCACGGGTGTAGCTCTAGCCTGGCACCCGACAGGAGTATGTGCTCGACTCAGCGGGCCTCGTGAACGGGCACATGTATCAGATGTAACGCCAAGCCTAGGACCAGCAGATAGCACGGCGAAGGGGCAAACAGGGCCAAAGCAACCAGCACTAAACGGGAAACGACTCGGGAGTGAGACAAGACTTTCACAGAAGTGCCCTGGAAGGGACGGGTGGGGCGGGGAAAGTGGGGAGCTGTGGGGGCGCTGGTGCCTGGGCTGCAAGCAGTCGGCACAGACAGGGCTTCACTGGGAAGGGAGGGCAGGACGGGACGTGAAGCTGGAAAGGCAGGCGAGGGACGTTTCAGGAAGCCGCTGAGCTCTTGGCGTTCACTCTGGGGGCACTGGGGAGGCGAAGTCACCAGGGAAAGTGGAGAGGGGATTGTGCTGACTGCGACAGGCCAGACAGGTGAGAGGGCTGAGGCAGGGGCGGTGAGCCTGGGAGGCTGAGGAGACAGCCCGGAGTCCTACTTGGGGGAGCCAGGTTTTGTTTTAAGAAGCTCCCGGTTTTCCAAGGAAAGATCAACAACAATGGTCATTTTGTAATTTTAATGATAGTTACCCGCATCGTACTTTTGTGGCTAAATCTTTTATAGCATTCAAATGTCAGCTCCTAAGTGTTAGTGATCTATGTTCAAAGTAATTTTTCTTGCTTGGTGAAGAGTTTGGAGAGGCCCAGAGAGGCAAAGGGACAGTAGGCTGCGGGGTAAGGAAGGGACTGCAGAAAAGGATCCACAGCATCTGAGTTCTGAAGTCCCTACAGTTAGCATTCTTTTTTTTTTTTTTTTTTGAGACAGGGTCTTGTACCATGGTTCAGGCTGGCCTAAAACTCACTGGAACTCACTGTGTAGCCCAGGCTGGCCAACTCTCGGTGATCCTCCTGCCTCAGCCTGCTGAGCGTTGGGATCACAGGCTAGAGTTACCTAAGATGTGGTGTTAGATTGATGATCTCAGTCTGTTGGGGGTGGGATGGAGGGAAATCAGCTACAGCTCCGCTCCTTCCTAGAATTTCAGAAGCCAAACTCAAATGACTGACATTAGCACTAATTTTCTAAAACAAAAGCACCTTCTAGTCCAGAGAAGCATGCTGGACCCACGTGTAACACGCAGCCTTCGTTACTGGACTGGTCCCCTTCCCTCACCCAGATGGACAGATGCAGAGGCGGCCAACGAAGCAGAGCTCAAGGACCCGAGGCCCGGGACTGGACTGAGCCCAAGACGCCAAACTGCTGGCCACACCAGGCAGCTCCAAGCCCCTCCCACTGTGGCCCATCAGCAGGGATGAGCGGAACAAGCTACGGTGCCTGTCATTTGATGAACGAGGGGCCAATGCCTATAAATCTATCACTCAGGGTAAAATACGGACCCACAGTCCGTGCTTTAGGCCCAGGGACCGAAGGCACGGCTGTCAAGTAAGACATGAAAGTTCCACAGCGGAGCCCCGGGCCCTGCTGTTTTCAGTCCAGTCCCCAACAAGCCCTAGGCACTGCCTTCTTGGGACAAG